TTATCATTGCCCAAGGACCTAAAACTTGGTAGTTTTAAATTATGAAGCCCTAAGACTCGAAGTCCTTCTGTGGTCTGGAAACTAAATTCCTTTCAGGAATCACACCACTACCTAAACCTGTTTCTTGGGGTCCCTAATATAAAGCTACACAATCTGAAAGTTCCCAGGCAGTTATGACGTGGGGCATTGCTTAGATGTGTATCAAGTCCTCCTGCTTTCTTATTCTTGCAGTGACTCCACGGCCATCATTACCAGGTACAGAAACATGAGTACTTTTAGTTAACAGATTTGATAACTACTATATTAATAATAGCAACCGGAGCGCATTTAAAAAAATAAAATGGAGTCATCTCAATCTCATTTGAAGTAATTCCACACTTCAGGTGCTTAGGCTGTACCCTTTCTTTCAGTCTACTACTGGCAGATGCTTTTTTGGCTCTTTCAAAATACATCTGGAATACAACCATTTCTCATCATGTCTATTGTTTCTTCCCTGGTCTGAATCACCATCTGTCTTGCCTAGATTACTGCAAAACTGGATGCTAGAAGATAATAGAGAAATGCCTGTGAAGTTCTAAAGGAAAACGACTTTGAACCTAGAACTCTCAGGTCCAATCAAAATGAAGAAGGGAGGGAAAATATAGGCCTGGTCAGATATGCAAGGACTCAAAGCTCATCTCCCATGAACCCTTTGTGTGTGCTGTGGGGGGGGGGGGGGGGGGGAGTACTTCAGCAAACAAACAACATAAAAAAAGAGTGGGATACAAATAGGCCATGGGCCTGCAAAGAAAATATATCCCAGGATAACAGCCAAAAATCACTTAGTCCACGTTTGATAAAGTTGATTAAAAAGCTTAAAGTGATCTTAAGAGTTAGAGTGAACAAGCAATTTTCTTTTGTCAAAGTAAAATAAATAAAGGCAAGAATAGGCTTCAGGAATCCCAGGATGAGAGATAAAAGCACTCTCAGCAAATCTGGTAATTCAATAGCATGATAAAAGAAGTGTTGTAGTGAAGAGAGCACTTTTCTTCTGTAAAAAGAAAAAAGAAAAGCAATTATCCCAGGAAAAATAAAAATCTGTGAAAGCCATGACCCAATTATGAAGACAATAACATATGGTATGATTTAGAGAAATTGATGGCTATAAATGATCCACTTGACCTTCAGCATAGAATATTGTGCTTAAATCAGCATATACTTTAGGATAGAGGATTGGATATGTAGGAAACACAATTACCTACTTTACCTGTGAATACTTTTGCATAATTATTGCTTTGCAGTTTTTAGAATCAATATATTTTATTTTATTTATTTTTTTGCTGATCATTAAATTTAGATTTTAATTTAGAGAATCAATATATTTTAAAAGCTCAATCATAATTCCCCAAAATAATATACATCTATTAACATTGATTATACAAACCAATATAACTTAGAGAAGTTAGAATGTAAAGGGCAGTAATAAGTTGGAAAGAAAGTACAAGGTACTTTCCACAACGGTAGGGAGACAAGAGATATGTTTAAAATTGATGAATCAAGAAATAGATAGCCCTGGCCAGTTTGGCTCAGCAGTTAGAGCGTCGGCCCGCGGACCAGAGAGTTCCGGGTTCAGTTCCCACTAACAGCATGCACCTCAGTTGCAGTCTGTCCCTGGGCCTGGTTGGGGTCATGTGGGTGGCAGCCACTTGATGTGTCTCTCTCACATCGATGTTTCTCTCTTTCTTCCTCCCCTCTCCCTCCCGCTCTATCTGAAGATCATGCAAAAATGTCCTCAGGTGAGGATAAAAATAAAGAAATATTACTAAAGTTATGAAACAAAAGAACTAAAAACGGAAAATGGGGAGAAGAAATGAAGTGAGATAAATTGCTTGTCATTCAGAGTGGAGAATCGAATCAATACTGCTTAAATGACAAATCAAGGCACAGCAGCAATAACCCTCAAGTGACGGAGGTAGTACCTGAGGTATAAAAAAGTGCACACCTGATATTTATATAATGTTATTAACCAATATTACCTCAATACATTTAATTTTTTTTTAAGTAGTTGTTGCCCTGGCTGGTGTGACTCAGTTGGCTGGAGTGTCGTCCCATACACTGAAAGGCAATGAGCTCAATTCCCAGTCAGGGCACACACTCAGGTTGTGAGTTCAATTCCTGGTTAGGGCATGTTTCTCTCTCACATTGATGTCTCTCTCTCTCTCCTCTCTCTCTTCCTTCCTCTCTCTAAAATCAATAAACATATCCTTGATGAGGACTTTTTTAAAAGTGGTTGCTACCTCTGAGAAGTGGGATTGGTACAGATGGCAGGAAGGAGCACTTTTACTTTTTATTTTCTATTTTTATTTTTATTTTTTCATCCTCACCTGAGGACATTTTTCCATTTTTGTACAGATAGAGTGGGAGGGAGAGAGAGGAAGAGTGAGAGAGAGACAGAGAGAGAAACATCGATGTGAAAGGGACACATCGAGTTGCTGCCACCTGCACGACCAACCAGGGCCGGGGACAAACTGCAACCAAGGTACATGCCCTTAGCGGGAACCGAACCCGGGTCTCTCCAGACCGCAGGCCGACGCTCTAACCGCTGAGCCAAACCGGCCAGGGCTTACTTTTTATTTTCTATCTGCCTGAATTATTTAAAATTTTTATTCAGGTACATATACTCAAATTCAATAGCTTTTAATCCTAAAAAACACTAGGGCTAGCAGGCTTCGAACGGAATGACAGTTGACAGTCTAACACTGTAGGAAGATCCAGGAGATTGTAAAAAGCTGGTCTAAAAACTCAAAAAAGATTTGAACTTGCCCGGCCAGTGTGGTTCAGTGGCTGAGCGTCGACCCATGCACCAAGAGGTCGCTGGTTCAATTCCCAGTCACCACACATGCCCACGTTGTGGGCCAAATACCCAGTGGGGGGCATGCAGAAGGTGGCCAATCGATGTTCTCTCTCATCAATGTTTCCATCTCTCTCTCCCTCTCCCTTCCTGTCTCTTTAAAATCAATAAAGTAAATAAAAGTACACATTAAAAAAAAAGATTTCAACTAAAAGGCCATTTAAAATAAAGGCACAAACTTATTGAGCACTACTGACTACAGTAAGAGTTGATTAAACAGGTTTATAGTTATGACTCAGTGATTTGTACAACAAAAAATGTTTAGTATTTTCTATTTAAAATGGCAGAGATTAACTTTAAAACTATTTGCATCCAAAATAATATAACAAAATAAATAACCCTTAAAGTGCATCAGATTCTAGACAATTAAATTTTGGACAAAAAAAAAGTTATTACATTATCTATGAATAACATATGATGGTCCAATACTTAATTTAACATGTTTGTTTAAAAAGAATGGCATTAAAATAAGTGATCCTTAAAATCATTATGATAATAGCATGACACCAAGGTTATATTTTAATAAAAGCTTTACATTTCTGGAACAGCTTACTCAATGCATATAATATACATGACATAGCAAACACAAGGAAGATGACTGAGTCAGTCTTCCTACAAATACATTTCTTTTGACTATTTACTCAATATATGTACCTGTCACATGTTATTTGGTATTTTTCTGGATTATTATACAAAGCTTAAAAACTGAAGATTTCATAAAAAATAGTTATTTATCTATGTTTTTTTTTAAAAAAACAACTAAGTATTCAAATTAAATAAAAGGTATTCTGTTTACCAATGTATATTGCATAAAAATAGTTAAATACTTTAATATTTAGAAAAACATCAAAAAGTCGGGTTTCTTAATGGCTGCTACATCTTTAAGTTGATAATTCAAATTTTATTTATAATTTTAAAAGTATACATACCATAGGTATAAATGTTTTTTAAAAATACATTCCAATTTGATTTTTTTTTTAAACTTCTAAATGTGCATTTTCAAACACTGCTGTGATTGCTATAATGACTACTCTGCAGATATACTTAGCCAAAATAAGTTAATTTTTAAAAATCAGTAACATGTAGTATGCTGGCAAGATTCTTTAGAAACAAATTAGGGTAATTATAAAGTCAATGCTATAAATGTACTACTACAAATAAATACATTTTTTGCAGAATTATTTTTTTTTTAAAGCAGAAATTAAAAAGGCATAGAATAGGTGAAGAGTTTTATCATCTAAGTCACCAGTGCAGAAATCTGGGCACTTAATCCTTTCAGTTAGAGGATTTCAATTTAAAGGATGACTTCTCACTGGGGATATAGTGACTTTCTGTAAATAAAAAAAAAAAATCTATTATTTCTATTCAGATGTGTCTCTAGTATTTTGGTTCATTGTGTTTCTATGCAACTCCTCCCTTGACTTAAATGTTCTTTCCCCGAAAACAACATTTTTCAAGCTAATGCTTTTGGCCTCAAGACATACATATTTTAAAGATACATGTCATTCTGCATCTAATCCCTCTCCCCATTCTAATACCTATACATATATGCACTTATAAATATATACATATTTTCAGGATTATAAAAATATTTAATTTTTATAAGCTTAAATAATTACTATTAATACAGAATACATTAATATTTGTATAATTTTACTTTTATTTATAAAAAGGTTTTTTCATATAGCAGCATTTGCATTGCAAATGAAATGTTATCAAATGATGTTGCAGTGTACATGGATTCATACTGCAAATCTGACTGAGTTGCAATATTCCTCTAAAAGGAACTTCTGTTTCAGCTACAGAAAAGCAGTTCCTATAAAATACAAAAATCTTGAGGAGCTATAACTTATCTGGACATTGTAAGTGCATTTAAAGTTATCCCCAAAGAACTGGCAAGATTTATTAAAGTATACCCAAGAAGTCCAAGTTATCTTTACCCCAAGTAAAATTTTCTAATGAGATAAGTAAAAATTATATTAGTGAATAGTGTTTTTAATTGAATCACATTAACTTATTAGAAATTAACTGACGGCTTCAAGAATAAAAATATCACTGTGAGAAAGATTTGCAACTCTAAAACATTATGGAAAAAAACAAGTGAAAACTCTCAAACACTCATACTAAGCTTGCTTTTGTTGAGCTCACGCTCCAGATTTCCAATCAATGTATCAATACTTTCTTGCAGATCTTTGAGATTGACCTTTCGATCCACTGTAGACTCAATTGTCTGCATTGTCAAATATGTCTGAAATGTGCATTCTTTGGACAAGGGAATTGGCTGTTTAATCATTATATCAGGTCCATACATTTTGTTGCAATTCTCTCCATCTTCTGAAGGGACGTCATCATAATCCACATCATTTAAATTTTCTTTTATATTTAAAAAGTAGTTTTCTCCACAGCTGCTCCAGTCTCCTGCATAACGATTGCTAAGTGGACTGTCTAACTTGGTTTGCCTTGGCCTAAGTACTTTTGATGAATCAGTACCACTCAAATTTAACATGTAAGGTCGTTCCTTCTTCTTCCTCAAGTAATTCAGAGAAGACTTCTGCTCTGTTGATTCTTCGACAGTTAAACGTTGCACTAGAAACAAACAACAAATTTGCTTTGGTGACAGTAATCCAACTGGCCTTTAAAAAACAGAGCTAAAGACAAGCCACTTAATAACTACAAACATGCATTAAAACAAAAACATGCACACTATCAAAGAAAGCATTCCATAATTATGTTTTCTATCACCAAACATAAGATTAAGGACAAAGCTAGTAGAATGTACAGTGGTGCTAATTCATGCCATATCATAACATCCCCAAACAAATCAAATTTCCAATGTTGATTAACTTCTGTTAATTATTATGTAGCCATAATTCAAACAGTAGCTAAGCCGGTAACTTCTTCTAAATTAAAAGCTACAGCAAAAAGCAGGCAAGGCATGTTGATGTACAAACAAAACAAAAAGTTCCTTCATTTGCAAACATCTAAATGAGGCAAAGGCATCTAAAGTGCTCAGTGTAAAAGTTCTGACCTTTGTATTTTTTTTGCAATTCTATTAGCAGCGGTGTCATAATTTACTTTACCAAGCAGCCCAAATTTCACTTTGATAAAATGCACGAATACTAGATTTGACCACTTGTTACCTGAGTTTGATTATACAGCATTAGCTACTAACAGTCTTCATTTATTGCCTGAAAATAGTACAGATATTTTATTTTCCCATTCTGGTTAGGTATCTAACAATCTCAAATAACATTGTTCCTATTAAAAGTAATTTCTTCTAAGGGTATGCATTATGCTGGCCATACAGATTACCAGAGACGCACATTATATCATAACAAATCAAGGTTTCACCATTTACTCTTGTTTATAGTGAACAAAACATTTGTCTAAGGCTCTTCTATATGTAAAACAATTCAAATATTGAAGCATAGCTATTAAAACCTGACCATAAAACCTCTCATTCTGCTTTATTCTCGGTTAATAAGTACCTCTCCATTTATACTTCCCTTCTCTAAGGTAAAAAGAACATTATATTATCAGTGATAATGCAGCAACTTTACACTCTCCAACATATACTGAATGCTCCTATTGTACAAAATAAAATAATTGAAAAATAATATAAACATGTATATGGCTCTAGTTGTTCAGACTTAGTGATATTTTAGCATTTTTCAGAGATCACATAAGTTTTTTACTTAGATTTTATTAAAATACTTGATAACTGTGTATAGCTTTATTTTTAACATTTCTGTTTATCTGCATTTTTATGATGGTTGATATATCCATATCAATAGCTAAAAGCTATTGATCTAAAATTTTCAAGAAACTAAAGGTCTGGTATATAAATTGATATTTAATTACAGTATTAACAAAGAATGCCCCGTACCATTAACTGATGCAATAGCAAAACAGGTATCTAAATTTTTCCACTGTTTAATTATTCACATTCCATTTTTTCCTCTAGCTTCTTATCTCCACTAAGTCTCCTTGCTTTTCTCTCTTCATTTCCTGTGCTGCTTCTGTTCTTACTGCTTAAGTGTTGTGCTGTTGTTTTCACCAACCCATTACAGTATTCTGCTAACCTTGAGGTCATCTGATTAGTGACTCAACCAAAGTAAAACATTTTTGACTGAGCTTGTGTTACTGTGCCCGCATTTTCTGACACCCACCTGCAAAACCCAGATTTATTGTACTAAATTGTCTAACTGAATCCCTATTCAAATATTAGTTTTGTATTTTTTCTTGGAAAATATTTAAGAAACTGATTATAATGTATGTATATACTTTAGACTAAAAATTCAATTTCTGAAAAATCAACCTCATTGGCTCTTTAAAATACTGATGGTGGAATGGTTGCCTATTACTTATGTAGAGAAAATGGCTAATTTTAACCACCCCCTAGAAGTTCTAGTTTTCCCAGCACTGCTGACTACCCATCTTCAACAGAATAAAATAAAAAATGCAATCTAGCCCTGGCTGCTTTGGCTCAGGGGTTAGAGCGTCAGCCTGCAGACCAAAAAGTCACAGGTTTGATTCTGGTCAAGAGCATGTACCTTGGTTGTGGTTCGGTCCCCTGCCTGGTTGAGGTCGTGCAGGAGGCAACCAATCGATGTATCTCTGTCACATAGATCTCTCTCTCTCTCTCTCTCTCTCTCTCTCTCTCTCTCTCTTTCTATCTAAAAATAAATGGAAAAATATCCTTGGGTGAGGATTAAAAAAAAAAAAGGCAGTCTATATGGTGCTGGAAAAGTTCCAAAATTTAATAAGTACTAAGAAACTAATTTTCTTACCTTGTTTTCTACCAATAGGTTTATATATTTTTTTAAAAATATATTATTTTATTGCCTGGCTGGTGTGGCTCAGTGGTTGAGCATAGATCCATGTACCAAGAGGTCACTGGTTTGATTCCTAGTCAAGGCACATGCCCAGGTTGTGGGCCCGATCCCCAATGAGAAACATGCAGCAGGCAGCCAATCGATGTTCTCTCTCATTGATGTTTCTCTCTCTCTCTCCCTTCCTCTCTCTCTAAAATCAATAAAGAAAAAAAAATTAATATATTTCTTATTGATTTTTTTAGAGAGAAAGGAAGGGAGAGATAGAAACATGGATGTGAGAGAGAAGAAACAGCTGCCTCCTGCACCCCCCCCCCCACTGGGATCGAGCCCCAAACCCGGCATGTGCCCTGACCGGAAATCGAACCAGGACCTTTCAGTCCATGGGATGATGCTCAATCCACTGAGACACACTGGCTTCGTGAGGTTTATATCTTGAATCACTACTTCATTAGCCTTTTATCTACAGTATAATTGCCTAATTTAACATACTATACATTGTCCACTTAGTGCCAAGTATTCTGCTAGGACTTGGGAATATAAGTCCCTGACCTCATGAAGCTTTGTCTAGTGAGAAAAATGAAATAAAAATGATTAGAAAAAATTAATAGCTTTTCCCAAACAAACCTACCCCAAATCTACTCATGAAAGAAAATGTGATATAGCAAACAGCTGGTCGAGTTACACTAAAGCTGTTTTCTCATCTGTAAAGTAAAAGGCTGGCCTTTCAGTAATGTTAAATAGTCCTCTTAAAACAGCAAACTAGCCCGGCCGGTGTGGCTCAGTGGACTGAGTGTTGTCCCATGGACTTTGAGATCAGGTTTGATTCCCCGTCAGGGCACATGTCTGGGCTGCAGGCTCGATCCCCAGTAGGGGGCGTGTAGGAGGCACCAATTGATGTTTCTCTCTCACATGGATGTTGTTTCTCTCTCTCATCCTCTCATAAACAATCAATAAAAACATATATTTTTTTTAAAAGCAAACCTATTTTTAAAAAGCAACAATTTTGTAAAAACTTACTACATTAAAAAATAAGAAGATGAAAAGAAGACTGTTTTGGTCAAAAGGGAAGTGGATTTCCATTTTGTTCCCAACGTTACCAATCTGGACCCAAGGCTGCTTCCAAAGAACCTTAGGGCTTTGGCAGAAGAAAATCTGAAAAACCACCGGCAGGATGATTTCACCTTCCAATGCCAATAGGTTAGGGTTCTAACTGATTACTTAGAAGACAAGATTTATCAAATGGAAAGATCAAAGCAAGTTATAATCTTGCCCAAAACAAAAAAATAGAAACACAAAACAAAAGGCTAAGAATGCAAAAAGAAAGGGTGGAACCAACTCTTTTTACCTCTGGAGTAGGGGAAATTCCAAATAGAAAAGTAAGTAGGATATACATAGCAAAGAGAGGCAAAACCTTCTGCTGAATTACGAGATGGGCATTCACCAAGGTCATATGCTATGGCTCAGTCTCTATGTCACCATCAATATTCTCAGGCTCAGTGACTGCCTTACATACACTTGATTTCAGCCTTTTCTTGAATCCAAAAGCAAAAGATTCAGAAGCCAAAACTAACTACTGTTTCCTCTCACCTTCCTGCCCTGTTCTGTCCTCTGTCTACGGTAGTATAACTAAAGAAAATAAAAGATTATAGAAAAGGGGGCAGTTATTGTTAATTCCAACAACACAAGTCTTTGGAATAAGGTATTAATACACTAGGAGTCCATTATTTAAGGCTATCATAGAAATATAGTGAATCTGAAATCTAAACTGGCCTTTTCTATAACAAAGAATATAATTTAATTTTTGCTTCTATACCCAAAACTAAGGTGGCCATTACAAAATAATGAAATGACATTAACTTCTAGTACAGAACTAATGATAAATGACTCAGGTACTGATAGTAAACTTAATGATATCTCCAGGCAAACAAGTTTTCATGTGTGATTAGAATGATAAGACAGCTCCTCTCCTAATTCCTGATGTTTATTAGAAGTAAAGCAGTTTTAGGAGAAGCTGGAAACCCATATTTAAAACTTTAACTTGAATGATTCCTTATACTGGACACCAAATGCAGAAATCAGTCCAATTATACAGAGAATCTTGACTCAGGATTTAAAAATAATAATACATACGAATTCGGTTAAAATATCAATTGGAAATTATTTTTAAGTCTGTGTTTAAAAGAAAGCAAAAATTTTAACTTTCCAAATTTAAAAGTTGAAAATTTTCATTAGCTTTTAAAAGTTAGATTTATTTTATTTTTTTAATCCTCACCCGAGGATATTTTTCCATTTTTTGTACAGATAGAGTGGGAGGGAGAGAGAGGAAGAGAGAGAGAGTGAGAGAAACATCGACGTGAAGGGACACATCGAGTGGCTGCCACCCGCACGACCAACCAGGGCCGGGGACAAACTGCAACCAAAGTACGTGCCCTTAGCGGGAACTGAACCCGGGTCTCTCCGGACCGCAGGCCGACGCTCTAACTGCTGAGCCAAACCGGCCAGGGCAAAACTTAGATTTATTTTAAAAGACTAAATCAGCATGCCTTTGTTTAATCTCTCCTCACATATATCTGTAAGAGAGTAACAAAGCACATTATCTGAGGACTAACTTTATACTCCATTTTCTTAGCTACTTGAGCTCAATCTTCACAACAACCCTGAGTTAGACACTCTTCACAGAGAAGCAAACAAGCTCAGGGAAGCTGAAGTATTTGCCTGAGCCCACACCATAGATGAGTGCCACAATCCAAATCTGAATCCAAGCCTGGCTCCAGGGTCAAACACCACGTGTTCCACTAGGCATCTAAGTACCGTGCAGTTTTGGGGAGGAGAGCAGGGGTTACTTTAGGATAAGAAAAGCTGGGAACATAAATACAGGATCCTTTATGAAACATCTAATTAAACACATGTTTCTTTTAGCGCTGAAACTACATAAGAGATATATGAGGAAAATAACTGTCAGCCTTTTGTTACTGACTGCTACAAGGGATGGAAAAGAAAGCTATAAAGATCAGAGTAACTGTCAGTTCAAGCCTGGATAATTTGAAGGATGACCACAAATACATAAAGACGTCGGGAAGAACTGATTTAAAGAGAAAAGTAAACTCTCCTCCATATCAGTTGAACTAAAAATGAGAAAATAATTAACATTTATTGAGTACCTATTATGTGCCCAAAATTACACATATAATTTTTTACTTAATCCTCTTATAAATTCTACAAACACACTAAATCCACATGACAAATGGTGATACTGAGGCTCTAAAAATGTTAAGGAACTTGCTCAAGGTCAAAAAGCTAGTAAGATTCCAATCCAGGTCTGACCAAATCCAAAATGTGTACATTGATCTATATGTCTATAATATCATCAACAAAAGCAGAAATTTGAAAAGGAGAAATCTAAAGGGCAGGTATCAATTTATAACTATTTCCAAAAGCAAAATCCAGAAAAAGATTTTCTTCAATCACATATGGGCATATTTAATGATTAGCTAATTCAAACACCCTATCATTAAAAGAGAAAAATATTTCCATAGAATCATTTACCTGGCCAGAGCTGAAGTAAGTAATGAAGAACTTCGATATGTTTTTTAAAATCCAAAGCACTTGCAAGTTCTTCTGAATCAGTAAAGACTCTGTTGTTATGGTTGGAAGTCTCTTGCCTCTGACTTAATAATACTGGTCCAAAGCACACAGCCAAATTCTGGCAGGTCATCTTATTTACTTCATGGTAAGAAGCCACCAATTTCAAATGATCCAACAACATCTTTAGGGTTGCCTAAATTTAATTAATATAATTATACAAGGGAAAATTCAAGGGCACAATGTATAGCAGCAAATATAGATAGGCATCCTGTTACTTTTAAACGGTTATTTCATGAACAAGCAAGATAAATAAAAACTCATAAACACAGAATGGTAGCTACCAGAGGGAAAAGGGTTAGGGGAAAGCAGTAAGGAGAAATTGGGGTCAAATATACAGCAACAGAAGGAGATACGACTTTGGGTGGTAAACACACAATGCGATATACAAATGATGTATTATAGAATTGTACACTTGAAACCTATATATTTTTATTAACCAATGTCACCCCAATAAATTTAATTTTAAAGGTTTAAAAAATAGAAACCCCAAAAAATAAAAATAAAAGGTTATTTCAAATATTTGCTTAGAAGTTTGGAACTTGAAATATACTCTATTATAGAAATGTCACACCGAACTCTTAGGTTCCAACAACATTATTTGATCCATTAGGCAGTTAAAATATATACTCTTTTTTTTTTTAATCCTCATCCGAGGACATTTTTCCATTTTTTGTACAGAGTGGGAGGGAGAGAGAGGAAGAGAGAGAGAGGGAAACATCGATGTAAAAGGGACACATCGAGTGGCTGCCATCCGCACGACCAACCAGGGCCGGGGACAAACTGCAACCGAGGTACATGCCCTTAGCGGGAACCGAACCCGGGCCTCTCCGGACCGCAGGCGGACGCTCTAACCGCTGAGCCAAACGGGCCAGGGCAAAATATATACTCTTTATAAAATTGTTCGTGACTGAATTCTACATTTCAGCTGGAATCCCTAGACAAACATACCATCAACATTTTTCTCTCTTCTCTCCTCTAAAATGACAAGAGCAGAAAGGCTGTGATAGAAAGCAGATTAGGGTAAAGTGTTCATTTTTAAGTAGGGATAAATCCTGAAGTCAAAAGTAGGGTACTACCATCCTTAAATCTAGAAAGCTAAACATTTCAGAACAGGGCCAGGTTCTATTGTGATCTAGATAAGGAAAAAGACCAATGTACTTCTTAACTAATCAATAGTTTAAGTAGACAATCCATAGAAAAGGGAAGAGTAGTATAGTAAGAAATTAAAGCAAATTTATTGAAAAAAAAAACAAAAAACCGTTTATTAATCCTGGAAGAAACTAATCGAGTAAGGGGAATTTGCTCAAGAAGTGGAATGGTTATTTAGGTTTAAGCAATTATGAAAAGGAATGGTATTTTCTTGAAGTAGTGGCATACACTCCATCATTTAACAAATAAGATGAGTGTATAACTTCTTCATAATTGTACAGAAGAAATGAATTACAACTAAAACTGTAATTTAAAAAAACTATAAGAAAAAAACAAAATGATATATTATTTCTGGAGCTAGACATGACACTTGGATTTGGTCATTAGAAGGTCATTAGTAACCTTGGCAAGAACAAGTGCAGAGAGATAAGGCAGGAAGCTAGATTACTATGTATTGAGTAATAAATGAGGGGCGAAGAAGGGAGGACAGCTGGAATAAACATTCTTTCAGAGTTTGGCTGTGAAGGGAAGCAATTAGGAGACAATGAAAGTAGAGAAGACTATAAATTGATATTCTAAAATTAAAATCTGTCACACACACACACACACACACACACCTACAAAAAATATTAGGTTCGCCCAGCTGATGTGGCTCAGTGGATTGAGCATTGTCCCATGGACTGGGAGGTCCTGGTTCGATTCCTGGTCAGGGCACATGCCCAGGTTGCAGGCTCCATCCCTAGTAGGGGACATGTGGGAGGCAGCCAATAAATGTTTCTCTCTCTAAAAAATAAATAAAAAACATTTAAATATATATATATATGTTAGGTTTAATCTCAACAGAAATAAAAAAAAAAAATGCAACTTAAAGTAAAAAATACATTTTGTCTACTAAGCCAAAAAAAAGCAACTGTTTTGTTCCTTTTGAAAAATTTATATAAAAAAGAAACATAATATAAAAACACGTATTAAGGAGCCTTAAAATGTTCACATCATTTAAATCAGCAATTCCACTCTCATATAAGTAATTCTAGCTGAAATGAAATCTGTGAACAAGTATATACAAATAGGTTCAAATCCTAAATATTATACAAAAGAGAATAATGATATATTATATCAAACCCACTCAATGGAATGTAACGCAGTCTTTTTAGAAAGGATGTTTATAGCATGAGCTTCAGGGCCAGAAAGACCTAAATTCATGTGACAGACTTACAACACTCTCAAAGACTATCTAGCCTTGGGCAAGTGATTTAAATTCCCTGACACTTACAGTTATACTCCATATTGGTGAGGGGATATTTCTACCCCTTCACCCCACCCTTCTGCATCTGCTCATCTTTATAGCTGTTCCCCTCCCGTCACCAAAGGGAGTAGAAACTGCTACATGGACAGAGCACAGGTAATTCAGAGCACAGGGCATTCAGAAGACTGCAATAAACCAGTAAATGAAGCTACTGGGCTTAACATTTCTACCCACTAACTTCACCATTCTGCCCTCACTTAGCAAATATAGGCAAAGTCGACCTCATCTGGACAAGCCAACCACATGTTTTTCCCTTATTTTTTCCTTTTGTTCTAGGAAAGAATAGCTAAAGTTAGGTTAAGACTGGTTCTGCACACCCAGCCATCCTTCTACCTCTCCTTCAGGTACACTTGAAGATACTGGTCCCAAGATTCAGATTGTGGGGACGGGCTAATGGGAAAAGGCAAGGAGGAAGGAAACGGCGGTGAGGGTTGCTTAAGACTTGAGGCTAAGCCACATACACCAAAACAGTTATCATATTTTTAAAATACTAAAAGGAAATAAACCAAACTGTAAATTATAGTTGCCTTTGGGTTTTGATCATTGTAATTTTCCAGTCTTCTTTTCTATATATTCCCAATTATTCTCTAATAAACACATATTATTTCAATAATAAGATAATACTATTTATTTATTTATTTATTTATTTATTTATTTAAGTATTTATTTAAATCCTCACCCAAGGACATGTTTGCATTTATCTTCAGATAGAGCAGGAGGGAGAGAAAGAGAAACATCGATGTAACAGAGACACATCAAGTGGTTGGCACCCACACGACCCCAACCAGGGCCTGGGACAAACTGCAACCGAGGTACGTATGTGCCTTTAGCAGGAACCGAACCTGGGTCTGGTCTGCGAGCCAACGCTCTATAACTGCTGAGCCAAACTGGCCAGGGATAAGATAACACTCTTTAAAAACTTATAAGAGTATTTACGCCTAGACTAAACTCATATACGAAAAAGATAAAACTTTGTTCTAAATTTATTCTGTTTAAGAAGCAGTTTCTAGCCCTGGTCGGTTTGGCTCAGCAGTTAGAGCATTGGCCCATGGACCAGAGAGATCCGGGTTCGGTTCCCGCTAAGGGCATGTACCTAGGTTACAGTTTGTCCCCAGTCCCTATTGGGGTCGTGTGGGTGACAACCACTCAATGTGTCTCTCTCATATAATGTTTCTCTCTCTCTCTTCCTCCCTCTCTCCCTTCCACTCTATCTGAAGATAAATGCCAAAATGTCCTCAGGTGAGGATAAAAAAACAAAACAAAAAGAAGCTATTTCTAGATTTACACTGTTTAAGAAGCCGGTAGTAAAGGCAGAGCTAGCTAAAACTCATGAGCACCACAAATGTCGAAAAAGCTAAAAAAATGATTTGTAGCTCTGGAGCTAAGGACAGAATTCATTGGCAGGCTTTCAGGAACAATGTGCAGCAGTGATACTTACCTTCTCAACATCAGGCAGGCAGTCCAGCAGGTCCACGGTGTACTTCGAGTCATCTGGATCGTTCTCACAGCCGTTTGATGACATTTTCAGGGGATTTTTTGCCATTGCACCTAATACAGCCTCATAAAGTTGCTTTGTTATCAGTGGAGAAGGAAGTTCTCTTAAATAATCCTTAAGAACACCTTTAGAAAACAAACCAGAAACAAGAAGCCATTGGTCTTCAAAGTGAAATAAAAAATTGTGGTGGCTTCAAGTATCATTACAGCCAACTTTAAATATTCTGAAAATAATAAAAGCAATAATTTTTAAAAAGTATTAAAACAAAACATTAGCATTTCTTATTAATTGCCTCATTAACTGACTTTCTGTTTTGAAAGCATGCTAAAAATGCACATGTATAATTTCCAGTTATCATACATATTAGGTTTGTTGCTCTAAAATAAGTCATTTTTTTAAAAGACGTTTACTGATTTTAGAGAGGAAGGGAGAAAGAGAAAGATGATCAATTGCCTCCTGAACACACTCCGACCAGGATTGAACCTGTGACCCTTCAGTGCACGGGACATTCCAACCAACTGAGCTACACCATGGACAAAAATAAGCCATTTTTGATACATATACCCTATTGATTCTGCCCCCTCATAACAAGCTCCTATAAGTGCATGTAAAAGTGAAGAAAGCAAGGCATATTAATATTGTAAATTATTCCAATTATATAAATTTCGAAGTTCTAGACTTTTATTTGCTAGTGAAAGAGTACCAATGGTCCAACACCCTTGCAAATAACTGAGCTATATAAACATATTTTCTCTTTTTAATACAGGACATATGTCTTAAATATAAGTATTGGATGGTTGGATTATCTCTAACACTACACTCTGGGGGGTATGGGGGGAGGATCATTCCCAAAAGAGAACCAATGAAACCAAAAGCCAAGAACAAAAAACATCAGACTTGTCACTGTAACAGGAAAGAGTCCATTTCAAACACTTCACTAGTGGTTATGAACTAAGATATCACCTGTAGTAGAGGAACAGGAAAGGGTAATTAATGGTTGTTACATATAAGCAATGTAGGTAAGATACTAAAGACTAGAATGTGACCACAAAGAAAAATAGGAGAAATTTCTGACACCAAAACCCTAAATACAGACAATATTGACTCAGAACATGCTGAGTTTAGAACTTAGTTTGAAAGCCTTGACCAGTTTGATTGGCCTGCCAACCAAAGAGTCGTTGGTTCAATTTCCAGTCAAGAGAATGTACATAATTTGCAAGTTCAATCCCTGGCCCTGGTCGCATCTTACGGGAGGCAACCAATCGATGTGTTTCTCTCACATTGATGTTTCTCTCTTTCTTACTCTCTCTTTCTCTCTCCCCCCACCCCCTGCTTTCTCGCTCTCTAAAAATAAAAAATAAAAATAGGCAACCTGCTCCAAAAATCTGCCTTTGAGAGGTGATAACCACAAAGGAGCAGAAAGGGCAAAGTAGAATTTTTTTTTTTTAAAGAAGGGAGAGACTTCAACATTTAAATGCCAATGTAGCCCAGCTGGTGTGACTTAGCGGTTGAGGGTCGACCCATGCACCAAGAGGTTGCCGGTTCGATTCCCAGTCAGGGCACATGCCCAGGTTGTGGGCCCGATCCCCAATGGGGGGCATGCAGGAGGCGGCCAATCGATGTTCTCTCTCACTGATGTCTCTATCTCTCTCCCTCTCCCTTCCTCTCTCTCTAAAATCAACAAATAAAAATTTTAAATAAATGCTAATGTAAAGAAGACATTAAAATAGTAATAAAGGTCCAGGAGAGAGGAATATAATCAATTGAGCAAAGCTCCCAAAGAGGATGGAAGAGACTCCTGAGAACACATGAAAGAATTAAGATTAGTCCAAAATGTGAGGAAGATCATTTCTATACTGTTACAGAAAGGATAGTGGAAAAGTGAAAAAGAATGTACACCAAAGAAGGCAGGATGGCAGGTTAAGTCACAAGAAGTAGAGGAAGTTCCGATCTGTTGGATTCTATTTTCTCTGTGAAGTTAGGAGGCAAGGTCATCACTAAGAGTGACATGGGTAAAATGAGATTCAAGGACAGTGAGAAGACTTTGGAGAATGAGAGAGAAAGAGAGAAGAATGAGAATTAGAAAAACATAATTATTAGCTATTTTATTTTTATTTTTAGCCTCTTTCATCTATTGTGTTCACTTCCATCCTCCCTCTACTCCCCCACCCCCCACCACTAGAATGTAGCCTCCTTGAGAACAGGACTCTTCTCTGTCTTTTTAACCCATGTTCCCAGAACATAGACCACTCTGGTGGTGCATGATCAACTCTCAATTAACCAAATCAACAGTCTCAGTTTCTTTCTTAAGAAACTATAAAAAGAAGAGTATATTATATTCAAAGTAAGCAGAAGAAAGAAAAATACAGAGATCAGAGTAGAAATTAATGAAATAGATATAGAAAACAATACAGAAAATCAACAAAACCAAAAGTTTTTTTCTTTGAAAAGATCAACAAAAATGGCAAACCTTCCACTGGAATGACCAAGAAAAAAAAAAGATAAAAGACTCAACAAAATCAGGAACAAAAGAAGGGGCATCATTACCAACCTCACAGAAATAAAAAGAATTGTAAGTTAATACTATGAATAGCTGTATGATAATAAATCAGATGATTCAGATGAATCATCAGAATTTCTAGAGATATAAATTAGAAAGTTACTCAAGAAATAGAAAAACTGCCCAGTTGGTGTGGCTCAGAAGTTGAGCATTGACCCATGCACCAAGAGGTCACCAGTTTGATTCCCGGTCAGGGCACATGCCCAGGTTGTGGGCCTGATCCCTAGTGGGGGGCATGCAGGAGGCGGCCAATCGATCTACTCTCTCATCAATGTTTCTCTCTCTCTCTCTCCCTCTCCCTGCCTCTCTCTCTAAAAGCAATAAAGAAAAAAAAAATTTTTTTTTAAAGATCAGAAGACATACTGTTAACATGGCAATACCCCAAATATGGACTATATTCCATGCAAAATCTATCAAAATTCCAAGTAGCTTTTGACAGAAATTTACAAGCTGATTCTAAAATTCATATGGAAATGCAAGAGACCCAAATAGCCAAACAAATCTTTAAGAAGAAGATCAGAAGACTAATAGTTCATACTTTCAGAATTTACTACAGAGCTTCAGTAATCAAAATAGTGTGATAATGGCATAAGGACAGGCATATAGATCAGTGAAATAGAATTTAGAGTCCATAAATAAACCCTCACATTTATGATCAATTGATTCTTAACAAGGTTCAAAAACAATTCAATGGGGCAAGAATGGTCTTTTAACAAATGGATTATGAATTGGTCATTTTTGTATGTTAAAATTGCTTAGGATGATGACAACACTTTTGTTGGAAATATAACAGTAGGAGAGATTATCAAAGTCTTTACTGAATAAATGGGAATGTTCAAAAGTTCTGTAGATAATGTTAAATAAGAAAGGTTAAGGCTATGTAGGAAAGTGCCATGAGCCTCAAGAGAGCCTTATTTCTCAGGAAAGCATAAGTTTCTATTCAACAGTGAAAGATAATAATTTGAAAATAGCACTGGGGAACCAAGAGAAGACTGACCAAACTTCTTTGATATAATAAAGATATATGACATATACAAAGTGCTCAACATTTCACAGCAATCAATACATGTTAGATGTACAGTGATGATAATAATAAAGCATTTTATATACAGTAAGCATGCCAATAATCGTTTACTCCCATTCCTTAACTTACACCATGTGATCTTTACCACCATCATTAGTTTTGCAGTCTAAACTGCACCTACAATGAACAGCAACAATCTGTGTTGAAGAACAACTGAGTTACAAGGAGTAAAAATAACATTTTCTGTAGCTGCCAGATAAAGAAACTACTAACCCTCTAGGAAGGCATAATTTAAAAAACATAAAAGATTCTATGTACATTCCTTTACAAAGCAAGACTTGTTAGTTCTAACAGAACTCAGTATGCCTTAGGTAGTTTGAGACTTGCCCTATAATGCAATTATATTAAATTAAAACCTAAATGATCTCCAGAAAAGATAACTTTATAACTTAATGACACATACATTTGATATATCATTATCCTTTACATAATTAATATATTAAACAATCATTAATGTAAGTGGAATTTTAAATTAATCCAAGATTCCTTATTTCACTATAATTTAACAGCAAATAAGGGAGAATTATTATTAACAAATATTAAACACTTAAAGTATGCTCAATGCACATTATGTTCAATGAAGTAAAAGTTACAGTTCTTTTTCTGTAAGTAGACAAAAGGTTTATAGAAAAAATAATCAAAATATTTAATAAAATGATACAGAGAAGAGATATTTATATATGTTGACACATAACTATTCATCAACCTAGAAATTAGCTAGATGGCCGTATCCCAAAAACTAAGTGACAGACAGGAGCATCTTAAGTTATACTGCCTTCTTAATATCTTTCAAACACTTTAGGGACATAAAACCTTAAGACAGTAAGTTTGTGATGATACTTAATGCTATGGGAACTACTTAAGGGAGAGTTGGAGGAAATTCGTGATAAAGTTTATTTAGTGCAACAGAGTAAATTTTGATCATGCACCTTAAAATGCGGGCAATTACAGGTAAATAAAGAAATGGTTCTGACCACACCTCTGAAGTGGCTCTGTAATAGACACAATGAAACCATACACCTCTCACCTTCATTCAGGCACAGAGACTAACACAGGAAAAGTCTACTCTTCCTATGGTGGGACACTGGTATCATTACACTAAAAAAGAAATAGCACTCTAATCACTAAAACCATCTCTACCTCTCAGAGGCTGGTTTGTAGTAGCTCTGTTTTATTCATTGTCAATCACGAAATTCACCCTGTTCTCTCTGCCAAGAACTCTGGCCTTAGATCTTCCAATGGTTAACTCCATATCATATAGATCTCAGCTCAAAATGCATTTCTCTGAGAGACTTTCTTCTCTGATCACTCAGTACAGGAGTCACCAAGCTGACTACCACCTCCAATACCAGTACCATGCCCATTGCACTACTTATCACTGATAAGTTCTTTATCTTACCACTCATCGGTTTGACTACTGACTTTCTTACTCCAATGAGACACTGTTCATCTTGTTCATCTGTCCCTGGTGCCTAGAAAAATGTCTGGCATATAGTAAATGTTCGATAAATATTTAGTAAGTAAACAAATTAGTTAACTTCAGATAGGGAAGGGTGAGTGATTAAGTGGATTCTGGTCATTCCTATGCACAGACTCCCCTTCTCCTTTGGGATTCTCACTTTAATTTCTACTTCACCATCACGCTAGCACTCCAGGAATGTATCGTGTTAGGTTTAAAACTCCAGTTCTTATTTGAAGAGAAAAATAAAATAATAATCTTTCAGATTTTACCCTTTAGCACTATAACACAAAGAAACCATTTTTTAAAGTTTGTTTTTTTCTCTAAACACACAGGAATAACAAACAAAAAAAAGGATTCATTACAAATTACATATACTTACCTCAAATAGTTGGTGATCACTACTCTCCTTCCTTTTCTTTCAGCTCTCCTAGCTACCTGTATGTCTCTAACATGGAAGGTGCTATTATAAAACCTGCTACATGGAAACTCTCGTCCAACTAACTTGGGAGGGAGAAAGAAGAGGGAGAAGGGGGTGGAAAAGGAAAGGAGGGGAGAGAGTGGAGGGAGCAAAGGGAAGAAAGGAAGTCAGGAAAGGAAGGAAGGAAGAAAAGAAGGAGGGAGGGAAAAAGGGTGGAAGGTGAAGGGGAAGATGGGGGGGGGGGGCCAGGTTCTAACTCTGCTGTTTCTAAATGATCCTCCTTGTCAGCTCTGGGTTTCAGTGAGAGAGCATCCCAGCCATCTTTTGCCACTGACCAGCCTGGTGTTTTCCTCTTTAGGAAGTGCTACAGGTTATACAGTTTCCTGTCTCCAAGTTTTTGCTAATAGAGTGCCCTCCTCCAACCTCTGCCTGGCTAAGTCCAGCTCACCCTTTAAAAGTTAGCTAAGGAGTCACCTCTCCCAGGAAGTTGTCCCTAATTTTCTCAGAATAAGTTAAGACTTCAGAAGAAAACCAAAATAAATTTAGGCTAAACATATAGTATTTCAATTTTCCCTCCTGCAGATGCAGTCTTTCCAAAATGAGTACATAAAATAAAATCTATGTATTACCTGTTATTACATTTATATCTGGGTACTGGTTTTCACACAGAACAACAGCTTTGCTATCCCTCTCAAAAGCCTCTCGAAGTTCTTTCTTGACTGCTGCCGAACCACATAATCGGTACAGGCCTACTACCTAGAAATGAAATCATGGCCATATTGTGGTAAATTTGATAAAGAGAAAATATAACAGCACAGTATGTATAAATCATATGAGCTTGGCAATCAAGTATGTTCTGATGGCATTTAATTAAAAATACTCCCAACACAACTTTTGAAATTTGACCATAGATCATATTGACTAGTTTAATACAAAATTCTATTCTTTCATGTAAATTCAAACAATACTTCTGTAGTGCTGGCTGTCTTAAGCAAAGATACAGTCCATTCCCTTCAGTGTTATATGCTCAAGCAGTATCTCCACGGCACGATCGTGCCCTTGCCAGCTTTGGCTCCACACTGAATTAACACAGCGAAGTTCAACAAGGGTTTTGAACTCATAAAGCCTCGCTCTATCACCTCTTCCGTGATGAATTTGGGCAAGTTATTTAATCTCTTTAAAACTCAGTTTTTATCCATGTACAAAAGTATATAGCTGAAATAAGGTTCCGATATACTCTTTGTGTAAATATCTTTTCGGGGGCGGGGGGAGATTATCAGGAAGAAATACAAGCACATCTAGGATTTAAAAAAATTTATCAGATTAACTGATTATAAAGTGATGGAGGAAATGCAATTAAAATAATGTATTAAAGGTCAAAGGAAACCTTCCGTTCAAAAGGCATGCAAGATGCAGAGATACCACCTATCCTCCCCTTAGATTACATTAAAAGGGCTTGTTTCTTAAATACTGTTAGCTCACACAGGTTCCAAAATATTAAGTCTTCAGAAGTTCACTATAAATTCACTGAGAAAAAATCAGCATGGCATCGGTAAAGACAAGGCATGCCTGATTAAGCAATTGAAGGTTTTTAAAATACATTTTATTATTTTTTTAAATTGATTTCAGAGAGAGGAAGGGAAAGGGAGAGAGACAGAAACATCAATCAGAGAAACATGAATCGACTGCCTCCTGCACGCTCCCTACTGGGGATCAAGCCTGCAACAGGGACATGCGCCCCGACTGGGAACAGAACCCAGACCTCCTAGAGCCAGACAGGCTGAGCAGCAACTGTAGTTTTTTAAAAGAATAAACCTTGATGAAAATTAAGGAAAATAAAGTGGCTGGCACCTATACTTCCACATCAAAGACTATTAAAATTCAATCACCTTGAATTGAAGAAGGTTATGGATAAAGAAATTGTTTCAAGACAGGAATGAAGTAAAAATAAACAATGGGGACCCCAAGAATTTGAAGTAGGAATCACTTTAAGATGTTATAAATGATCCAGAGGAAGGAATACACAAATGAAATTTCCAGGTTTACTTATGGCACTAACCTCTTCTAATTAAATAACTGATAGGATCACTACAGAAGGTGGTTCTTAATATAGGAAAGTGTCAACAACAGATACAGAGAAATGTTATCCAAAATGTTTGAGATGATAAGCTATTAGGTATTCATTGAAAGTTAGTAAGGCCCTGGCCAGTTTGGCTCAGCGGTTGGAGCGTGGGCCTGTGGACCAGAGTCCCGGGTTTGGTTCCCGCTAAAAGCACATAGCAAAAAATAAATTGTAGTAGAATCCATGTGACATCAAGTTTAAAAAAAAAAAAGAAAGTAAGGAACCTACAACTATTTCTAAGAAGGTAATGCAAGGTGCGGTTATATTCAAATGGAGCAACATGATGTGGGAAACCAAGTAATTTACTAGGAAGAACAATTCAAATGTCCTGCTCTTATCCACATTCATAGTGCATTCACATTGAGAACAGCACGTGCTATGCTGGTCACATCACTGCAAGAGAGACATGGAGAAGTGCAGATGGCCCAGAAAATGAGACTAAAATATTTGACAGATCGAAGGAAATGCCATCACATGAGAAGAAACTAATTTGAGTAGAGCCCTTCTTGTGTGGACACAGTAAGTGTCACATAATCCCTTAAGGATGTATCCCCTTGAACCTGAGAAGGAGATGAACCTAGAACAAATTAAAGAAAGTAATACTTTAATAGTAAGTAATGAATTAATGAAACATATTATCTCAAAAGCTGAAATTAAAACATAATTTTTAAAAGGTGAGTAAAGGGGAAAAAATCTAATACAGATATTTCAAGGAAAGGGTATTTTAGAATATATCCCTAACTTCAGAGGCTTAAAGTACATGCTTGATGCTTCTATCAGAGATAGAATCTATACTGGATAGACCATGAGTATGATTTCTATGTAATTTTTCCCATTGGAAGCAAGAGATGGGTGATAGTAACCTTCAAAGCAGTTGGAAGATGCCATAGACTATTTGTGAATGACTATCAAAACCTGACTTTCACGATGAAAAAACAAGAATAATTACTGCATAAAAAGGTAAATAACCCTGGCCGGTTTGGCTCAGCGGTTAGAGCATCGGCCCGAGGTCCAGAGAGACCAGGGTCGGTTCCTGCTAAGGGCACGTACCTCTGTTGCAGTTTGTCCCCGGCCCCGGATGGGGTCATGTGGGTAGCAACCACTCAATGTGTCTCTCTCGCATCAATGTTTCTCTCTCGCATCAATGTTTCTCTCTCTCTGTCCCTCCCACTCTATCTGAACAAAAAAATGGAAAAATGTCCTTGGGTGAGGATTAAAAAATAAATAAAGTAAGTTACAACAGTCTTATATGCCTGTTCTTTATAAAATATTTCAGAAAACAGACTATAAAAGTACAGTGCTATTTGAGTTATGTGTTTTAATACTCAATTGTAAAAGATTCTGTTTAATAATTAGCTTTGAAGTCTGCCTAATCTCTCTGACCTGTCTACATGCTGCTTCAGAGGGGAAAAAAATGAAGGGAAAACAGAGAACCTTAAAAAAAAAGTAACTGGACCACAAGTTGGATTAGAAACGAAAGGCCTCACTCCCACGTAGAGAACATGAACTTAACTTGATATATCATATATCTGAGAAGAGGTTTCAAAAGTTCAGATGTCCTACCTCTCAGCTTCAGGAAGCTACTGCATCTATTTTTGTAGATATAAGCACATAAGACCCACAGAGATTAAATGACTTGCCCAACATCACACAGCTATTATGAAGAAGAAACCAGAATCCAAGTGCCTGCATCTTAATACAAAACTCCACTCACGTATACTGTTCCTATATTTTTCATAAGTTCACGGTAGATTATTTGAATTTGTTTTTTATATATAAAGAAACAATTTCAGATTTTGTGTAGTTACTCTTGATATTTTTAATCAATGTTATAAATTCTGATAGCACCAACATAGAAATACCTCAGAATATAGTAAATTTTAGGCTTAATGTGTATTGCAAAAATGAATAAAAGTGCTTACTTATACCTCAGAGTAATATCCTCAGTGATATGCTATTTCTCATTGTCCTAGTCCACATGTATTAATGAAAATAAAGAAAAAAAAGCTCTATTAAGCAGTTAACATTTACATATCTTGTTATAAACAGTACCAGGCTTTTTGTTTGTTTCAATGCACTGCTTTTACCTTCTGGTTTAAAAGGAAAAGAGAAACAGATGTGTTTTCATTAGTAGGACCCATCTTCAACCTCCGTACTATCCCAAAGTTAAGAGACAGACTTGCTTTCCAAAGTGTGGGACTGAGGGAGGGTAGGAAATAAAAGCAGCGAGTTAACTTGAGCAGTGAAGCAGTGTTATCAAGATTCACCGCTGAGGAACTCTCTACCTTAGGAATCAAGCCATGGAGAAACATTACTTTAATTAACTATTTGCCTATGTTATCAGCTCTGTCATATCCACTATAACGCAATCTTGATCTCTAGGTATGAGGCCCCTCAGTTCTGCATTACAACATAAATTGCAGAACATCTAGGACACTCTCAGTCATTGACAACATAGGTTAAGGTATGAATTATGCCCTAAACAGTAATGTAATAAAAATAAAAAACAGAAAAGAGAAATGTCTAAATTTTTACCTTTAATTCCTTCCTCCAAGAATTACTATAAATAAATTTAATGAAATAACCAATTAATTCATAGATTTGAGGGTAGTAGAGAAACAGTGAAATAATACCTGACAGCCTCTCTTGACAATTTCCATAATACATTTCTGTATCAGGAGTGGCACCATTGATCCTGTATTCTCTTTCTCTACGACTTTTCTAATATCAACACCAAACATGACTGATTCTCGATTTATATCTAGTCCATGAAGAGAATTCTCCCACTGTTCCAAAAGAGTCACTTTTACATAAATAAGACCTCTAGGTTCAAGTTTGACAGCCAACTGGTGTGTCTTCGTCACTCTGAATAAGGTGGGGAGAACAACAGTTCCATGACAACACACTCTGTTTTTCCTTGGAGTGGGTTCCCAACTGAATACCACTAATTTCAAATGCTGAGCGTTTTCAATTTCTATGTTGAAAGTGTGATCCATGTCTAAAAATGTCGTCCGACAAGTGAGCAAAGCAGTTCTCGCTTTGTTTACTGAATCTACCTGAATTGCACAAAAGACATCCTTTGAATCTATCCGAGGCGGTTTTAAATCCTCAGCACCGTAGAAATGCACACTCATGAGCCCAGATATGTACTGTGAGCACTTAGGTTGATCAGAAAAGCTGTAATGTCTAAAAGCATCAATATCAATTTCATTCTTGCTACAGCTATTTGGAATGATTTCTTTTCCCTTTCCAAATTTGTTTTCAGATCCATGTTTGCTAGATTTGGTTATAAGTTCAGGTGAATCTCCATCGCTGAGATAACCACCTTTGCAGGAATACTTAGAACTCATAGAGCTTTTCTTCTGGTAGCTGTGCTGAGAAGACACACTAGTATCAAGATGGTACCGACTTATAACATTCCTCTTAGCAGCTGTGGTTGTGTTCCCAGAAGGTAGAATAACAGTATGGTGAATTTCTTGACAGTCACATTTAGACAAGGAAGGAGTATTATCCGGGCTGTTTACATAATTCAAGTTTCCTTTAACGCTCAGTTTTCGGCTAAGTTCTGGCAACCTTTTCATTTTCATGGAAAGTTTCCTCACAGTGCGTGGAGACTTTATTTTATCTGGGAAAGACCAATTAATTGAACTGCCTTTTTTCACAGGGCTAGGGCTTGGAGAAGATGTTTCTATAACTCCCAATTCAGTCTTATTTGTAGCAGCTAGAATCCCAGGACCTTTAAAAAAAAAAAAAGGTATTATAAGGGGATATGTTTTGATTCCTACTTCGTAGACAGTCAACTTAACAAGCTTTCACATGAACAGAATTCTTCCCTTGTCTCATCTCAATGGGGAGGTTTCGTTATAAGTTTGGGTGAATCTTCATTATCATGTTCAAGCAGAATAACAACGGCCTCCAAATGGCTTACAGGGGAAAGAAGCATCGTCTTCTCCACCCGCTTTTCTATTCTGAAGATTTGAAGGAAGGGTAATACAGGTTTCTTTTAGATCTTTCCCACTATAACATACTTCAGTGAGTATGTGTTTTACAACTATAAAGTGAATATCAGAGAAAACTAGGAAAGGTTTGTATTTTAATATACTAAAACATTTATTTTAACATATTTCCTATTTTAATGTTTATTTAGAAATCCTACTCTTATATAAGAATGTTTCCTCTATATTTGTAATCCTCTACAAAATAAATTTTGACCCAGTGATTCCACATCTAGGAATATATCCTAAGAAACCCGAAACACTGATTCGAAAGAACATATGCACCCCTATATTCATTGCAGTGTCATTTATAATAGCCAAGATTTGAAAGCAGTAGATAAGTGGATAAAAAAAGCTGTGGTACATTTACACATTGGAATACTACTCAGCCACAAAAAAGGAAGAAATCTTACTTTTTGTGACAGCATGGATGGAATCGAGAGTATTATGCTAAGTGGAATAAGCCAGAGGAAGACAAATACCATATAATTTCACTTACATGTGGAGTCTAATAAAAAAAAAAAGCCCAACCAGTGTGGTTCAGTGGACTGAGTTTCGTCCCATGGACTGAGAGGTCCCAGTTCGATTCCCAATCAGGGCACATACCCGGGTTGCAGGCTTGATCCCCAGTAGGGAGAGTACAGGAGGCAGCAATTGATGTTTCACTCTTGCATTGATGTTGTCTCTCACATCGATGTTTTTATCTCTCTCTCCCTTCTTCTCTCTCTAAAAAAATCAATAAAAATATATTTAAAAAACAGAAAAAGTAGAAACAGACTCATAGATATAAAAAACAGACTGACAGCTGTCAAAGGTGAAGGGATTAAGTAAAAAATAAAGAGACCGTCTGGTGCGGCTCAGTGATTGAGCATCAACCCATGCACCAAGAGGTCCCCGGTTTGATTCCTGGTCAGGGCACATGCTCAGGTTACGGGCCAAGTCCCAGTGTGGAGCATGCAGGTGGCAGCCAATCAATTTCTCTCATTGATGTTTCTCTCTCTCTCTTCCTCTCCCTCTAAAATCAATAAAGAAAAAAAATTTAAAAAAAAGAAACTTCACAGACACAGAAAACAGTATGGGAGGGTAAGAGAGGGTAAAGGGAGTGATAAATGATGATGGAAGGAGACTTGGCTTTGGGTGGTGAACACACTATACAATATACAGATGATATATTATAGAATTATACACCTAAAACCTATATAATTTTACTAACCAATGCCACCCCAACAAATTCAATAAAAATGTTTTTTAAAAAATATATAAATATATATGTGGTAATAACTATAGAAAATGTATCAGTAAGCCATAGAGTGAAACCTCTTTTTTGTTTTAGAAAATCAATTTATAATAAAAATAATCTCCTCTTAAAAAATAAAATAAATAAATGTTATCACATAGCAGTGCTAATGTAAAAAGAAGTTAGCCCTGGCTGGTGTGGCTCAGTTTGTTGAACATTGTCTTGTGTACCAGAAGGTCCCCAGTTCAATTCCTGGTCAGGGCATATGCCCGGGTTGGAGCTCAATTCTCTATACGGGACATGCAGGAGGCAGCCAATTGATGTTTCTCTCTCACATTGATGTTCCCCTCTCTCTCTCTCTCTCTCTCCCTCTCCCTCTAAAATCAATAAAAACCTATTTTAAAATAATAAATAAAATAAAAAGAAGTTAAAAACCAAACAAGTTTATAATTTCAACAACCGAGAGCCCCTCCTTGTTCTAAAATTCTATAAGAACACATCAGCAAAGATTATATAGCATGAACTCTAGTCAATCAGGAATAACTAAATATTAAATGGGAAATCTAACTGAATGATTTTCAAAACTGTAAAGACATTTTCTTTCTTGTATTATTTCTACACGATAATTCCCTAGAACTTCAAAAGCTAAAGCAGGGCCTTTCCTTGTAATTTCAACATGTTAAACAGACAACAGAGATATAAACAAGTTTTCTTATTTTTTCAGTTTTCATAAAGAGTAAAAAAATAAAATGTTTTTTAATTTTTTTCCACACAAAAAGAGCTTTACTTTTCTCTGAATGTTAAAATGATCCAGGTTTACAATAAAAAAGCTTTTAAAAGATACAAAAAGTACCAGTAAAGTAAATAACAGCTTAAACTGCATTACCAAGTGATTACATTGTAAATACTGTGGTGAAAATAATATTAAAAGTAGGCTAATATGAAATTATTAATATTTATTATTAAAAATAGTAACAGCAGCCAACACTTATTGAGCTAGACAAAATATGGAAATTTAATTTAATACTTAGTATGTGCAGACCCTTAGTCAATTCTCATTTTAACCCTATGAGTTAAGATACCACTAGCACCACATTCTTCAGATAAGGAACCTCATGCACAGAGCTGTCTAATTTGTCTAAGATAACACAGCTGATAAATGGCAGAACCAGAATTCAAACCTAGCCATCGGCCTTCAGAGCCTATGTTCTTCAATACTACACTTCCAGACTAAACATTTTTCTGTCCATATATACAGGGTGGGACAAAATAGGTTTACAGTTGTGAGTATGCAAAACACAGAATTTATTCTTGTATTATTATTTATTAATTATTGTATTATTTTCCATATGAATAACTGTAAACTTACTTTTGTCCCACCTTGTACACATTAAATTGATTTTTCAACCTTAAATTTTCAATCCCCTAGTTAAAAAAAAATGTACAGACTAATCAATTTTATTTTGAAATGTGAACCTGATTCTAGTAAGTTTTTAAACTAATAAAGCAAAATATAAATATCTTCTAAGATATTATATTACATAAATCTTATTCCAGTAAAGAAACAACCAGGTATTATCCCAATTATTTAAAATTTAAATTAATTTTTCATACTTGATCATACTATTCTTATAAAAATCCCTAATAACCGTAATATCAGAGGCTACTTTATGTAATATTATAAATGAGGGAAAAAAGTGTTTATTCATTTTAAAAATCAATAAATGAAATGATCTTTTTTTTTTTTTATCCTTACCCGAGGACATTTTTTCCATTTTTTGTTCAGCTAGAGTGGGAGGGAGGGGGGGGGGGGGGAGAGAGACAGAGAGAGAGAAACATCAATGTGAAAGGGACACATCGAGTGGTTGCCACCCACACGACCCAACCAGGGCCAGGGACAAACTGCAACCGAGGTACGTGCCCTTAGCAGAAACTGAACCTGGGTTTCTCTGGACCGCAGGCCGATGCTCAAACCACTGAGCAAACCGGCCAGGGCTAAATGATCTTTCTTTAAAGTATTAATACTATATTCTCCCTCCACCCCTCTTTATACGTCCTAATGACAAAGAAGTGGTTTCTTTATAGAGAAAGGACTATTTTAAGTATGCCTGCTGGGCTTTTCTGGTAAGCCACTAATAAGAAATGGAGTGTTTGATAAACTAGACAAAGCATTCCCTTGTACTGTAAATTGCAGTACAATTCTACTGGTTTACTGGTTTAAAACATTCTATAGTAATTGGAGTCCTGCTTTAGTCTACAATCTATTTTGTCATAGCATATAAAAGCTATCCAGTATATTAAATTGCTCCAGGTTTTATTAAATTATGAAGGAGTTAATTTAACATTCTGACTTTTTATTACAGTACAAATATCTAATTAGCATTAACTATTTTCTACTGAAGTCCTTAACTAATTATTAAAATAAAATACTGTATATGTTAGCAATTTTTACTGCAGACACGACTGAATTTATTAAAACAAAAATGCTTTGTTTTATAAAATCCCAAAGTGGAAATATTACCAAACTCAACAATCACTTTAAACCAAACCACGATTACACTAATCACATCACAGATTAGCAATAAGAAGAAAATACAAAATGAAAATGTTTAAATATAAATTTATGAACCAAGCTAGAATCAAGTGAAACTGGCTCACTACTTCAGCACCTAGAACAGTAACTGGCACACAGCAGAAACTCAGTATTTACTGAATAAATAAATTAATCATTCAACCAATTTTTAGTTGCCTGTAAATTGGTAAACTTTTTAGGAAATAGAATATAGGAATTACCTACAGTAGTTTTCAGCCATAAAGAACCAGTAATGATACTAGTTATCAATCCTAATGAAGCAAAAATGATAGTGATAAAAATCACTTCAAGAGTAATGAAAACAGTCTATTAATACTCATTAGGGAACCAGTCACACAGATTAGGGCACATCAACTCAATTAAGTACTATAGTGATTGGCCCAGCCAGCGTGGCTCAGTGAATTGAGCACTGTCCCATGGACTGAGAGTCCCAGTTCAATTCCTGGTCAGGGCACATGCCTGGGTTGCAGGCTCGATTCCCAGAAGGGTGTGTGCAAGAGGCAGCCGATGAATGTTTCTCTCTCACATCAATGTTTCTCTCTCCCTCTCCCTTCCTCTCTCTAAAAGAAAAATAAAATTAAATAAAAAATTAAATAAATAAATAAATAAATAAATACTATAGTGATTGGGAAACAATGTTAACAAAATGTTAAACATGTACAATACCAGACAAAGATATAAAGTGAAAATAACAAAAAACAAAAATAATCCACTATGATTACAACTATGTAAAAGGCATATACATCTAGAAGTTAATAAGCAAAAAGGCCATCATTGGGGTAGGATAATTTTAAAATTGTCATTCATTTTCAAATACTTCAGCTTTCCTATTCCTTGGTCAAAATTTATTTTGAAATTCAACCATTCTATGCCTATTTCTCAACAGCTGTCTGGCGATATTGTTAAAGAAAACAGATCGCTTTAGGTAACCTTTCAGATCAAACTAAAACAAACAAACAAAAAAACATGACATGTAAATAAACTACCTACGTATGTTCTTTGGTCAATTTAGGATTGTGCCTATTACATTTTAATATATTAAAGGGGAAAAAGACATAAATGACATTACCACTGCACTTTTTAAAATGTCTATCAGTCTTTCCAGGTTAAACACTTTGCCACCAACAGAAAAAAAGTTTAAAGACAGTAACTTAAAAGTGTGTAACATGTTACAGACACTGGCTTTCTAACTTTGCTCTAATCCTTATACCCTCTTGCCTTTTCTCCCCCATTCCACACCCATCACTATTCGCCACACACTTGTAAGCTTTCCCTCTGCACTCCAGATTATTATTTAATATAGTATTTATTCTTCTCTCCATCCAGATTACAAAAGACACACAAACGTACTTTGGAAAATCAGTCTACAATTAGAAATGCACACACACACAATTTTAATTACATTCAACCCTAACACCCAGTAGGGAAAAAACATTTCCAGTATAGCATTTCAGTGTTTCTTGCAAAATTGGCATCAAATAATACACACTGTTTTGTAACTTGATTTTTCTCTTAATAATATAACATTTACTCCACCTCCTCCTATCTCTAAGAAAGGGATTTAAATGCAAGTAGTTTACTTAAGTATAGAAACATCAGCAAGGAAGTGAGAAAATTCCTGGGAAAATTCCAGGTGAATCATCAAGCCTGCCACCACTAAGAGCACCTGGAGCTTAACCCCAAGAGAAAACTCTGGGAAACCTGTAGAATTATCCGACCCACGGAAGGAGGGAGCTGGGGTAGTCCTATCCCTACTCCAGCTCCTGTCAGCTGGGGTGAAGACTCCCAGGCTGCCCTACAGAGAGACTCCCTAACACTGAAGAGAGAGCCTCAAGCAGAGATGCAGACACTGATGGCTGGAAGTAGGCTGCCCCCATTTAAATTAGTAATAAAACCCAAGGGATATGGACAAGGTACTGACAGCATGTGTTACACCCCACATCTTTGAATACTCTGTACCATTTGAAATTTATAAAGGAAAATGATGATATAAAACAGAATTGCTTTCTTCTCAATATCTGATATTTGCAACTAAACATGCCTTCCGCTCTGCCTCCTGGGTGGTGTGTCAGTAACTTAATTTGAAAAGCACATCAGAAAATCGAAGATAATCAAGGAAAAATAAAACCATTAGGTTCAACTACATACTGTTTGTTTGGGTTTTTTGCAGATCAAAAATGGTTGAATATCAGCAATTTCATATGGTTCAAGTCAATATGTATCAAATTTCAATTATTTCCTTTCTAAATTTCATAACTATTGCAGAACCTATCTACAAGATCTTCTACCTCTCATTTCTTTTTCTCTTCTCCCTTTCCTTTGTTCATGAGGAAACATAAGGCATAAAAGTGCAAACTAATGACTACTACTGGTACACTGAAAATGCAACTTTCCAGCTGTACCCAGACAAGGTATGAATGAATGAATCAATGAAGCAAAATAAGATTTAAACAAAAAATATATCATTCTCTTCCTCTTTCCATTATGCCATTCTTTCAACTGAGAGGAAAATAATTACTATCTCAAAAGATCAACACACTGCCCTGGCCAGTCTGGCTCAGCAGTTAGAGCCTCAGCCCTCGGACCAATGATTCTGATCAAGGGCACGTACCTCAGCTGTGGTTTGTCCCCTGCCCTGGTCAGGTCTTGGGATGGGGCCCAAACAGTCGATGTTTCTCTCTCTCTCCCCCCTCTCCGTCTCCCTCCCTCCCACTCTATCTGATAATAAACAGAAAAATATCCTTGGAAGAGGATTAAAAACAAACGAACAAAGATCAACACACTAACAAACCCAAGTATGTAAAAATAATCACCACGTATGTGTTTATAAATGATTTCGAGTTTTATGTTCATGAAAATACATTCACTTTGTAAGGTAAAGTACATAGCCACAATGGACATCTATATTTAATTTTAGCTACCACCAAAGAATTGAAAAATGGAAGAAGAAAGAAAAGGCAGATATATTATCATCTTTACCTGCAAAAGGAGATTTCAACATGGGACTGTCGTCCACCATTATACCGTCTTGGATCTTGTGTCCAAGCCTTTGCTTGTACTGCTGCACAAACTCTGTGGAATGGGTAGAATCTACAGGCTTCGTTTCATTTGACTGTGTGGTCTGAACACTGCATATGTGTTCAGAAGAGTACAGCAAGTCTTCAGGATGCTGCTCTGCTTTCAGGAAGTCACTGCTGGATAATACTCTCAAACTGACAGCAGGAAACTTCAGAACAGTTGGGTTTGCCTCCCCTAAACTCAAAGCACTTGATATAGCAAAGTCATCATCCTCAGGAATGGGATTGTACCATATTTCCCCTTCATCATCTGCATCATTTTCCTCATTATAGTCTAAAGAACAGTTTCTTGATAATGAAGAATTTGTAGCATTACATACCACACATGTGCAATATTCTTCTGACGATTTGAGGAAAGGTTGTGATAGCTGATATTTAGGTAGAGAAGCAGGTGAGATGGATAAATGGCTTATATCTTGGCATTTCTTACTTTCTTCTTCCTCCAAATTAAGAGATCTCAGAGGACTCTGATATAGCCAATTGCGTTTCTTTGACACAGTGATGCTGGTAAGTGGCTTATGTTCTCTGAATCCAATATTACCCTTCAAATTATCAAGTTCTCTTCTCTTCATGGCAGACCCATAAACATTTTCAAAAAAATCTGTTTTAAAGAAAAAAAGAAGATAGAATATAATGCCTGGCATACCAAGAAAAACATGTCCCTTGAGATCAGTTGTTCAAATACTATTTTTAAAATGATAAATAAAAAGAAAAGTAATCATATTTGGAGATTAAAATTGAACAAGAAAATTTTGGATTTTCCACCTAAAAATTATTTATATTATTTAGAAATTTGACTGCAAGTATAAGTGTCACAAGAATTCTAAGAAAAAAAACAGAGCCCTGGACGGTTTGGCTTAACGGTTAGAACACTGGCCTGCGGTCTGGAGAGACCCAGGTTCAGTTCCTGCAAAGGGCACGTACCTCAGTTGCAGTTTGTCCCTGGCCCTGGTTGGGTCGTGTGGGTGGCAACCACTCAATGTGTCCCTTTCACATCAATGTTTTTCTCTCTCTCTCTCTCCCTCCCACTCTATCTGAACAAAATATCGAAAAAATGTCCTCAGGTAAAGATAAAAATAAATTAAATTAAAATGAAAATGAAAAAAAAAATAGACAAACTCTAAGACTGCCTTTATTAACATTATAGGGCTAACAAAGCCTTACCCTAAGAAAAGCATACTTTATAAAAAGCTTATATAGAATGCTTTGTACACAGTATGCCTTTAATTAATGTTTAATTAATTTTCAAATTACTATGCAGACCAGAAGTTCTTTAGAAAACACAATAGTCCTACCTTTATGAAGATTAACTTTAAGTAAATCTTTCAAAATAAATGAGCCTTACTCATTATTAAATGCTTTACAGTTTATTAAGATTTCAACATTTGTTTCCTAACCATATAATGTAGTAGCATCTTACATATGGTTTAAGTTCTAAATATCTAAGGCAAAAATATAAATCCCTTAAGAGGGCCCCAGATTAGAACCCAAAATACTGTCACACAGTAAGCACAACACAGCTCTTATTATTGGCCAGGCACAAACTTAAGCTGCAGAAATAAACAAAAATGTCCCTGCCCTTAAGGAATTCATTGTCCAATGGGGGATATCAAATACGTAGATATATGTACATGTTAATATAAGACTCCAGAATTGTATATATAACATTAACTCTATATAAAGAGGAAAAATTTTGCACTTCCAAAGAGTTGCATAAAGCTTCAATGATAGTCAATAAGCTAAATATATATCTATCATAATACAAATATACTGCAAACTGATAATTAAAACAAAACCATATTTTTAAAAAATTATGGTCATGTCAGGTGTGTAAATCACGGAATTGTGGTAATTTGAGTGTGTATATGGTTGATTCATTTTTTTTTCTTTTTTCTTTATTGATTTGAGAGAGAGAGAAGAAAGGAGAGGGAGAGAAAGCTAGAAATATCAATGAGAGAGAACATTGATTGCTGCCTCCTCCATGCCCCCTATGGGGGATTTGGCCCACAACCTGGGCATGTGCCCTGGCCTGGAATCAAACTGGTGACCTCTTGGTGCATAGGTGATGCACAACCACTGAGCCACACCGTCCAGACAGTGGTTGATTTATCTAATGTTACAGCAAATAAAATAAAATGGGTTTCGAGTTCAATTAGTTCCAGAGGCATGAATAGACTAGGAATCAGAAGGGAAGAAAGTTCTCATGAATGTCTATTATGCCAGACATTTATTTATTCAACACATTTATTGAGTGCCTATTTTGTGCCAGGTATGAGAGATAAAGCAATTAAGAAAGCCCTTAACCTTATTAAACCTTCACAATAAGCCTATGAGACAGGTATGATTATTTTCATAAGCCTCAAAAACAATGTGGAGTATGCTCAAGGTGCTAGCCCTAGAATGCAAATTTAAGCCTGTCTAACCCTAAAATCCATGTTCTTACCAGTCTTCCCAACACCATCCTACCCACTAAAAGTAGGGAAGTAAGCAACCCTCTCTGAACATGGTCACATCAACCTGGCTAACGTTATAGGCTGGTGGCTGCTGGTAAGACGTTGTTAGATAACAATATAGTACTAAGTCATGTAACTTGCCCAAGATCACCTAGTTGGAAAATGGAAGAGGCAGCACTCAAAATAAACTCTTTTTACTTCAAAGCCTGTAGTAGTATAGCTGGGCTACTAGGGAGGGATGCCTACCACCACCTTCCTGGATTTAATCTGCAAACATGTAACGGATGTTCAACACATATCTTGAATTCATCTTGTTTAATTTAATTAACAAAAACCTGAAGATTCAAGGGTCTTTCTTTGGCTCTGTCTCCTTTACACTTAAAATTCAGACCTGAAATTCAACACAAACACAAAAATCACTGGAGCTTCTGGTTTTTTAGTAACGACATCTTTTTGTCGAGTGCACTAAAATCTAGACCTATTTCACATCTAAAACCAAATCCCATATTATTTAATAGCATTTCAGACCTTCACAGAGTATTATATGTGGTTTTGACACAATTATAAATTTGAAGCACAAAGTTTAAAATTATACAATTCACAACTGCTATGAGCCACATTTATTTTACCTTTCTCTCAGATGTCTCTAAAAACATGCAAAATTTTAAATAGTCTGACATACTACTTTGAGTCATATTGGAGTTTTTGACATACACTATCAATATATTGCTACTTGGCCCTGGCAAGTTTGGCTCAGTAGTTAGAGCACTGGGCCATGAGCCCAAGAGTTGAGAGTTCAATTCCTGGTCAAGGGCACATACCTTGTTTGCAGGTTTGATCCCCGGGTCCGATTGGGGTCATTTGGGAGGCAACCAATTGATGTGTCTCTTTCACATCACTGTTTCTCTCTCCCTCCCATTCTATCTAAAAATCAGTTGGAGCCCTGGCCGGTTTGGCTCAGCGGTTAGAGCGTCGGCCTGTGGTCCTGAGAGACCCGGGTTCGGTTCCCGCTAAGGGCGCGTACTTCGGTTGCAGTTTGTCCCCGGCCCTGGTTGGTCGTGCGGGTGGCAGCCACTCGATGTGTCCCTTCACGTCGATGTTTCTCTCTCTCTCTCTGTTCCTCTCTCTCCCTCCCGCTCTACCTGAACAAAAAAAAAAAAAAATGGAAAAATGTCCTCGGGTAAGGATAAAAATCAGTTGGAAAATATCCTCGGGTGAGGATTAAACAACAACAACAACAAAAAATATACTGCTACTTGTACTACTACATTCCAAGGAACTACAATGAGAAAAATAAAGCAACTACCATCCCATATTTAAGCAATTTTAATACTCCTATTAATAAGAAGCATTTAATGAATGTGTAATATTGAAAGATATAATTACCACCACAAGACACATTATTTTTCATGAAACTACAAACTAAAAAAACTTAAAACCGCCCTGGCCGGTTTGGCTCAGCGGTTAGAGCGTTGGCCTGCGGTCCAGAGAGACCCGGGTTCGGTTTCTGCTAAGGGCACGTACTTAGGTTGCAGTTTGTCCCTGGCCCTGGTTGGTTGTGCCGGTGGCAGCCACTTGATGTGTCCCTTTCACATCAATGTTTCTCTCTCTCTCTCTCTCTCTTTCCCTCCCACTCTATCTGAACAAAAATGTAAAAATGTCCTCGGGTGAGGATTAAAAAAAACAAAAAAAAAACTTAAAACCAAATAGTTTCACTGCTATTGCTAAATATTTCAAAATACGTGATGACAGAATTTAAATTTAGATAAATAGGTACATTACTATAATTTCTGATAAAGGCCAAATTTATTCAGTTATTAAAACTGAATATAAGCAACACATTATTTAAGGCAATAAATTTTACTCGAGCAAGTTATAAATCATTTAAATCATTTCATTTACATTACAGTTGGATGTGTATGAATGTACATTATACAGAAATGGAAAGCTATCTGCAATCTGCCCTTCATTCCCTTTTTTTTTTTTTTTTTATCCTCACCCGAGGATATTTTTCCATTTTTTGTACAGATAGAGTGGGAGGGAGAGAGAGGAAGGGAAAGAGAGAGAGAAACATCGACGTGAAGGGACACATCGAGTGGCTGCCACCTGCACAACCAACCAGGGCCGGGGACAAACTGCAACCGAAGTACGTGCCCTTAGCGGGAACCGAACCCGGGTCTCTCCGGACCACAGGCCGACGACGCTCTAACCGCTGAGCCAAACTGGCCAGGGCCCTTCATTCCCTTTTTATGCTAAAATTAATGTTAAACTTTATTGATATAAACTTAAGACACTTTTAGCTTCAGCTTCAGGTATATATAAAAGTTAAAAACTATAAAGCACAAGTAAAAAATATAAAAAGTGTGCAAAGTTACAAAGCAAAAGTCTTTAATCTCTTGCAACTACACATGCTATGTTATGATTATCAGATTCTAATTAAAATGATTTTACTTTAGCCCGGCTGGTGTGGCTCAGTGGATTGAACATCGTCTCATGGACTGAGAGGTCTCAGTTTGATTCCTGGACAGGGCACAGGCCTAGGTGGCAGGCTCGATCCCCAGCAAGGGGCGTGCAGGAGGCAGCTGATCCCCAGTAAGGGACGTGCAGGAGGCAGTTTCTCACATTGATAATTCTCTCTCTCTTAAAAAGAAAAAAATCATTTTACTTTAAAACCTATGAGAAAATTCAGCAGTGGTAATTAAAATTTTTTTATTCAGAAAAATATTTACCTAGTGGTGAACTACTCAAGCCAATTTTGTGTTCTCAACTTTTATTTCATAATAAATCTAGATGACTCACTATTACTAAACATTTAACTAGTGCCCCAGCTCAAAATCATCAGCAAACTGTGAGAAATTATGTATTTCAACCCTCATTGAAAATGTACAATATCTACAGATATCTTTTCATCATTTCAAAATTTCTACTACAGAAACAAATGGTGTTGCTTTTGCTTACTTCTCTTTAAAAAATTTAAACACTGTATTCAAGTTTAAATAAATACAAACAGCCTTACTTAAGCAGTCAAGTCTGGCAGCCCACAGAAATGACTAGAATAAGCTTAAGTCTTAGCTTTAGGTATATACATATAATCTTTTCCAGATAAATCTAAATGGGGAGAAGAGCACAATGAAAAGGAAAGAAGTGCTTTTTCTATCTTTTATTTTTCCTCCCTTGTGAGTAGCTATAAAAACCCTTAAGAAAAAAAGCTGTGTTAGCTTTTGGGACAGGAAAGTAGAGAAGAAAATGTGGAGACTGTTTTCAGTTCCACAATAGAAATGAGGAGGAGCAAGAAAAAAAGAAGCCCCAAAGAAAAGATGAGTAGAATAAATAAGTGCCCCTAAAGGGGTATACTCTACCTCAATTCCCAATGCTCTGCAAGACAGTACTCCTCAACCTCTGATTATTTCACTCTCCATCCAGAATTCCAATGATCTGGGGCAAGGCAGTATTCTCACAAAGCCTGCTTGCCTTTCCCTTGTTAACAGGTAAGCACCAGGCATGGTACCAAATGGATCATCTTTTTTCATCCTCATTGAGGACTGAGGCTATGCAGAGTTGAGTAACTTGTCCAAGGTCACAAGCCTGGTTCAGTGGTAGATCTGATCAGAAGTCCAGAACCTCTATTCTGTTTACCATCATACTATATGGCTTGCAGATTCCAAAGTCTTATTTCTATTGGTGCAAGATCAGACCAATATGGAGGGAACTGCTTAAACTTGTCATATATAAGTAGTAAGTATAAATTCATACATATAAAACGAAAGCAGAATGAGCTCAAATGCTTTTCTCTAATAGGTGTTAGTATCAAGTATCAGAATAATGTATAATGGTTTTTTGAAAGTTGAACAAATGTTTTAAGATAGCTGACTGGGGGGACTGACTTAAAATGAGTACTAAATAGCAGCATCCTTACTGGGAGTTTGTTAAACTGCAGACTCTCAGGTCCCATCCCTGCACATATGAAATCTTCATTTTTACAAGATTTTCAGGGAATTCATATGCACATTAAACCTGAAAAGCACTGCGCTGTGTGACACACACACACACACACACACACACTGAGAGATAAAGGTCTAGAAAATATCCTTAATGATTCTCAAAACATAAACACTACTTAGAAATGTAGGACTTCCAAATAATAGGAATTTCTGCTGAATCTGTAATTCTCAGTTTTCCTGCCACCAGCAACGTCAATGTTCTATGGCACTCTTCCCCAAAAAACACAGAAATACAAAAAACTGGACTTGCTTCTAGGGTCACAATGGCAGAATTTCTTGGCGAGGGATTTAAATTTAGAAGACAGTCAAAAACTGTATGCTGATAGTTACTCATCTCAAAGGGGAGGTGAATAAGAGAATTTGTTGCAAAAATGTATAACGATAATTTATCTCATACAGAAATTAGGTGAGAAAAAAGAAGGAATAGGTGGAAATCTGTATTAAGTGCCAACTTCCCTTTAAGATATAATGCACAAGATCATACCTGCTAACTAATACTATTTTAAAAGAAGTGTCTAAGTTACATGTCCTAAATTTTTTCTTTCACAGATCATGGAGAAAGAAAAATAGAGTCAAAGTAAGGCTTATTATTTTTTAAAGTGTTAAAAGGATAAAATAGCTCAACCTGAAACTTTTGCATTTATTTCTGAGTACTGTATGCTAATTAAACCTTATTTATAAAGACTTATAATGAAGTATAGTTGGCAAATAGGTTAAAATTCCTTTTTAATATTAAGGCTTGCAGAAACTTGACAATATTTACTATGCGTAATGACTTTAGATTTCGTAAATAACCATCTCAATTAGGAACAAATTGGCCAATCTGTGAATACTACCTCCCCAACTGCATCAAATCATTGGCATTATAAGACTACCAAAAGTTTTAGTGGTTCTTAGTAGGAATCAAAACAGAATATAATTTTTTGGCTACCATTTGTCATATGGTCTCAAAATTTTCCAAAATACCTACATAACTTAGATATCTCTATCCAATTATATAGTTATTTTGTGTTATAAATCCTAAGTATAACTGCATTTTGAAAGAAAATATACTCATAAGTAATACTGTATAGGAAAATGGATATAAGCCTTTTAGGCTATTTAACATCTTCATACAACCAAGAATGTACTGATTCATCTGGACTGACCAATTAATTTTTTAGAAAACATGACTGAAAAGCAGAATCCAATTTGAACGAAGTAAACATTTAAAGGTAAAGGTTTAAAATGGATATAGCAGTTGATTTAAAAATATCTTAAAACCTATTCTAGAATTTTCCCATCTTCTTTGTGATTTTGAGGAAGTTACTTACCCTTCTAAACCTTTTTGAAATTCCATCCATCTCCTCAATCCAAACAATTTAATAGAATTAATTGACTCAAATCTCTAAAAAACTTTAAAGTCCCTTTGACCTTATGTAAATAGGGATTTTAGAGTCACAAAGATCTGAGTTTGAATCCTCATAAGAGTTTACATCCATATACTAGTATATACAAACCATAGACTAGTTTGAGTAACCTTGGACAAACTACTCAATTCCTCTGTTTCTTTGATTGTTGTTAAATGACAGTTGTCATACCTTCATTGGGGAGGGGAAGGGGTGTTAATAAAGATTATGTGAGAACCACATAAAGTATCCGGGATAGTTTTAATAACTTTAACCTTCAAAAAGAAAAAAATTAGTTGTGTCTGGGCTGCCCCACGGATTGAGAGGTCCCGGTTGGATTGCCAGTCAGGGCACATGCACGGGTTTCCAGCTCAATCCCAGTAGAGGGCGGGCAGGAGGCAGCTGATGGATGTCTCTCTCTCACATGGTTAAATCTCTCTCTCTCTTCCTCTTTCTCTAAAAATATAATAAAAAAATATTTAAAAAAAATAGGTGTTAAAAAAAATAAGCTCTCCAAATCTGTACTAGATATGTAAACATTGCACAAATTATTTTTAATTTATTTTAAAGTTAGTTTCATTTAATTTGTTTCTCAATACAAAAAAAAAATCAATGAATTTATTTGTAAAGATTACATTTATTATTGCTTTTAAAAGCCTTGAATGTTTACAATACAGCTGAGAGCATTAAAAGCCATCAGATGGTAAATGTTTAACCTTTGCAACAAAGGGTAAAAAAAAAATGTTGAAATTTTATACAGATTTTTTATTGTGGCTCGAATTTAGCTGTCCTACAAAGAGTTAACTGAACCAAACTCAGGGGAGATAAAGCTATAATGGCAATAAAATGTAATAAATGATTACAAATACTCTACTCCAGAAATGCACATTTTAATTTGAACTTAGCATAAAGTACACCTCTCTTCACACACACACACACACACACACACACACACACACACTAAATTTCACTATCCTGTTATTCAAGTGAAATGAAATACATTTGAGGGAAATTTTTGACTGGTGTGGAATAGAGATTTATAGTTTCATAGAAACTTTTCAAGTTTCTATACACTTTAAATGAATCATTTGATTTGTTCTTATTGTGCGATTAGAAGCTTTGTGAACTACAATTCTCCCCACTGTTTTGTGTTTATTGGTTAAACAAAGTTAATGTGTACAAACTTGGTCCTGTAGGATCTTTAATTCTTACCAGAGAAACTGCCAAGTACTGCAAATACTTTTTACATTTCAGCAATTAATAGTTTAAAAATTATTGCAGCTATGTGAGCCGTTTACTAGAAGTCTTTATATGTAAGAGTGTAATTCAAAAGATCACCTTGTTTTTTTTGCTCAATCTGAAGATATCATACTTCTTTCAGAAGAGAATTTTTGCTATTTACAACATAATTAAAAGATTTCTAGAACTGATAATCTAAACCTTCAGTGGAAATTTAAAATCATACACATACAAAATAGGCATCAAAATCCTATTAAAAGGACAAGTATACTTAAGTTTACAAATGACTTTAAATGTCTCCAGTTTCTTTAAAAGTACGTAAGGGATACTTTTCTTTTGATTAAAATAACTAGTGCCCTTGTTTTTCCACAATAAAAAGATTACTTACTTTGTGGGGGTTTTTTGTGGGAAGGGGAAGGGAGGAAAAAGTGGATAGAAGTATGCAAAATCCTACCTGACTAAAAAGAAATTTTACTATGGTAGTTTTTTGTTTGGTTGGTTGGTTGGGTTTTGGTTATGTGTATGTTTCTATTTGTGTGCACACGAACCTGGGGGGGTGGGGGGTGTAATGACTAAAATGAGTTTATGAAGCCTGTAAAGTCCTTGGATTAAATTCAAATGCACAAACTCCACAAATCTACGGATTTGCCTAGAGCTACAAAGAATAAAAAATCAAGGCAGCACCGCCCAACTCCAAACCTACTAACAGCGTGTGGTGAACTTTACTCTTAGGAAGTAGGTACACTGATTCATGGAGAAGAAAAACAAAACCCCCAAGTTCCTCATGCCACTGTCTTGAAAAAAAGAAAAGAAAGCAAAACGACTGAATGCATTACACTAAGTAACCCCGAAATTGCATTAAGCTGCCACTTACATGACACTTACTTTGACACGGGTACGTAACTGTCTGCAAAAACATACCTATTCTTTGCTCTAAAGACAGAAACCCAGTTAGTAAACATTAAGGCTCTAAGTGTTAGCATTTTGATTGCAAACCGTTCTACCTGTCAGCGTAATTCTTTCGTCGGGAGGCACCGAGAGGACTTGGCTTTCACGCATTTTCAAAGCGTCCAAATTTGGAGAGGTGCCCTGCGCTCCGGTGACTTTGGGGGGTGTCCCACCGGCGCGACCCTTCATTCCCAGGGACAGCAGGCGTCCTTTGTACATCCACTTCTGCAGCTTCTTCACTGTCACCGCGGGCGGCTTGAGGAAGGAGAGCCCCTCCTGGTCGTCTCCTTTGCTGCATATCACAGGGGACCCCGCAGGATCCCTGAAAGTGCCTCCCGGGGAACGGCCAGGGTCCTTGGAGCGGGGACTCCGGAGGCCAAAAGGCGCCGCGGCCGGAGCGCTGCCTCCGCTCCAGCCGTCCATCCCGCCTCCACGTGGCGGGGGCTCGTCCTGGTCCCCGCGCGCGCCACACCTGACACAGCTGTCGCTCGGCCACCGCTGGAAGGGAGTGGGCTTGGCACCTACCCGGAGGCTCTCGAGACTTCTGCTGCAGGACAGACGCATCGGAGGAGTCCGCAGGCGGCCTCCCCACGACTCCCTCCGAGACGACCAGGGCGGGGACACCTGCTGCCAAGGGCGGCCCCGGCCTCCCTCCTCCCAGTCTCGGGGGCTGGCTCCGCGGTCCACAGCGCCGCAGGCGGAAGGCGGCTGGCCCCGAGCCCGGGCTCCAGCAGGGCAGCCGCGATCCGCCCAGCCCCGCCGCGCGCCCGAGTCAGGGGGCAGGTCGTGCATAGCCTGGATCAGCAGATAATAGGCCTCTCGCAACTGGGTCTGCAGCCTGCCCGTCTCCAGGCGGCCGCCCTCCGCCCCCGGGGAGGAGCCCGCCGGGGGGGCAGGCGGGGGCCACTGCCCCGCCTCCGCCCCCTCGGGCTCCGGCGCGGACTGGGAGCCGCCGGGCAGGTTCTCGTAGTAGTCGGCGGCGTCCTCGCCGTCCTCCCCGCTGCCCTCGGAGGCCGGCGCGGCGTGCACAGAGGCGCGAGTGAGCCCGCGGCCCCGAGGGGCGGCCTCCTTCCCGCCGCGCGGCCGAGGCCCGAGCGCCCCCGACTGCTCCGGACGCCGTCCCGGGTCCCGCGCCTTCGGACCCCACGCCTGCAGCGACGGCGGGGGCGCCTCCAGGCTGGGCGGGGCTCGGCTGGTGTGCTCGCGTGGGGGGCCGGCCAGAGCACCCCCTGCGTCTCCCTGGGCAGCGGAGGAGGCCGCCACGGTAGCTGCAGCGGCAGCCCGGAGCCCGAGTCCCCCGGCGGCGCGGGGACCTCGCCTCCCCCGGAGCCTGGACAGCGTCCTCCTCAGAGGGTCCGCCATCCCCTCGGCCTCAGGAACCAGGCTCGCCCCCGCCGCGGGGAGCGCTCGAAGCCCCGCAGGGGAGAGACCGGCGTTCACGGAGGCGGCGGCGGCGGCACCCCATGACCAGCACGGGCCCTCGCGGGCTCCTCACATACTTGGCATAACTCTGCCGCGGGAAGGGGTGGGGGAGGGCGGCGGCGCCGCACGGCGCATGCCCCAGGGCCCGGGCCGCGACTGGGCGCGCGGGCTGCGGGGCTGCGGGCTGCGGGCTGCGGGGCTGCGGGCCCCGGCGGTGGTGCTTGGCGGGTCGGGAGCAGGGGGTCCAGGGAGGTGGGTGAGGGCGAGCCAAAGTACACGGAGGAGGAAGGCGAGCGCTCCGAGCGTGGGGGTCCAGTTTTTTTCCAGGCAGGAAAAAACGAGGTGAATCTGTCTAGGCTGGAGGATGTAAAGTTTTTGTTAGGTAGACAGAAAGGGAAAGTGCCCCCCGGCTACCACCCATCGTCTTCACCGCCTTCCCCGTGGCCACCATTGCACGAGCAAGCCCTAGCTTGAGAGAAAACAAAGATTGCTTTGACGGGACAGAGTATGAGTACAGGTGTATCTCAGTACCATGTGTTCCAGAAACGCTCCGAATCATTTTATTTGCACAAAGAGCTATCTACTTCAAGGAAATTGGCAGCGATTCCTTTTCAATTAGGAAGAATCCTTTTATTAAAAAAAAAAAAATTACCTTTGGTATCTCTTTTTAAAGTTTTTTTTTTTTTCAATCAATCATGCTAATGCAGAAGTAATTCTGACATCAACCAAAACTTGTAAAATGGAGCCACAAATGTAGTGCCCCCTCCATCAGTCAGATAACATTCATTTTTATTAAAGCTGAGTTGAGGGACAATTGGATTGAAATTGAGAAACAATGTCATTTGGAAATAACAACTCTCAAACATAGTCTGTGTAACAGTTGTAATCTAAAATACCTCTTGTTGGAATCAATCAGTGTTGATTCCAATCAGTCATTGCATCATCCCAGATTTCAGTAACATTTTCAAGTGTTTACATATTAGAAAGGGCCTTTGTCTGCTAGCTCATGAATGCACAGCTAACTCCTAGCACAGTACTTGGATGTAGTAAGTAATCAAGAAACATTTGTTGAATAAAACTTGCATAATGGAATAAGATAATTTAGCTCTAATTTACCCTTTGCAAGTATATTTCTCTATGTATGACTCCCCCCCCCCCCCCCCCCAAAGGCTCTAGTCTATACTAACTTTGTTGATACCTGGTCTCTGCCTCCTTGGAATATTTTTCCTGCATCTTTATTTTCAGAAATCTTACCCATCCTTTTAAGAGTCCACCCAACTGGCCCTGGCCATGTAGCTCAGTTGGTTAAAGTATCGTCCCTATACAGCAAGGTTGCAGGTTTGGTCCCGGCACATACAGGAGTCAAGCAATGAATTCATAAACAACTGGAACAACAAATTTTTCTCTCTCCCTCTCTAAAATCAATAAATAAAAATTAAAAAAAGAAAAAGATTCCACCCAACTGCCTTCTTTATAAAGTCGTCTCTGAACTCCAGATGGAGTTCTTCCAAACTCCAACAGTACTTTATTCATACCCACACATAGTATAGTTATTGTTTTATACAAAACATAACCTATCTCCCGTAGAACAAAATTCATAAACTCCTGAAGAGCAAAGACTTTATAATTGACTTTTGTAGTCTCCACAGAGTATAAATACAGTATTTTATATATTGGACATAGTAAATATATTTTAATTAATGTCAACTTTAATTTGAAGGAAATAAATAGCTTTAATTTCCAGTCTATTGCCTAACTCTCCACTAGACCATGCTTGTATTAGTGTTGTTTTAAAATTATTTCAGTGATTGCCTGGCTGGTGTGGCTCAGTGGTTGAGTGTCAACTCAAGCACCAAGAGGTGTCCAGTTTGATTCCTGGTCAGGGCACATGCCCAGGTTGTGGGCCAAATCCCCAGTGTGGGGCATGCAGGAGGCAGCCAATCGATGTTCTTTCTCATCCATGTTTCTATCTGTCCCTCTCTCTAAAAAATCAATAAAACTTTTAAAAAATTCTTTAAAAGTATTTCAGTGATGAAGAAGAGCCTAGTTTGTTAAATTATCTTAATTCTGATGCAGGAAAATACCATGAAATGTTACATTATAATTTGCATACATTACTAGTTTAAGTTCTACACTATTTATATTCCATGGAACCAAAGCTATACAGTGAATAGTGAAGGCATAAAGTTATGTTCCAGTGAAATATTCCCACAGGAAATGGACTGATAATAAAGCTGCCAATAATGGTGTCTATAAACTATTTGATCTCTATCTCAGAAATTGTTTCCATTCCAACTCTCAGTTGCAAGATCTTTTTATTCTTTTTGGTTAACATAGTTGTTGAGAAAGCATATATATGTGTGTGTGTATATATATTAGTATATGCATATATACACATAATAGCATATACCTATAGATTATATGTATGTGTGAAAAGAAACAATAACCTTGAAAGTCTAGACTGAATTTTTCTTAGTTCATCTTGCCAACTATTGAGTTTAGGAGTTATAAAACACGTTAGCCAATATACAATACTGTGCATTGTTCTAGGCATTACTCAGAACTAGTTTGATGCTACACAGCACAACTGACCTTCATGCCACTTTAAAGCTGAGAATACTCCAACACATAAATTCACAAATTATAAGAAATATTTTGGGCACAACAAAAATTGACAAGGCAGCCATAGCAATGTGAGGCTACTTAATAACCTTAAACATGCAAACCTCACTTTTCTGTATGTGCATTACTCTTCAATAAGTTGATTAAAATGTCACTCTAAGGAGACAGTGCCCCTAGAATTTATATTATACATATTATAATTAAGGCAGTGACAAGACAGGAACATAATAAGCTATGCTTGTAAAATTATTTTTGTGTTTTAACAATTCATACCCTATTCTCCTGGTTAGCTCAATTTTCATATATTTCTAATCAACAAATTCCTATGAAGATCAGGTGGGGTGGGAGGGGATACATTTTTCAGTGTTTGTACTTATTGCTCACTGGCTTGGAAATCATTTTGATGCCCCATGAATTAACAACTATGTGTCAGCACTGTCACAAAAGATGAAACAACTATGGGATAATAGGGCAGGAAGGCAGGAAGGCAAACTAGATGTGGGGCAGGACTGACAATCTGGAAGAGGGGGGAGGTGAGGGAGGGCAGGTTGAGACAGAGGGCTAAATTGAACGGTAATAGAAGGAAAATGCCTAGATATGTTATGGTTATTTTCTAGGCAATTAGAATGCATTTCTGTTTCACTGCTGCTCAGTCTTCCATTGTGCCCTTAGTGAAACCAAAGGAAAGTTGAATGCTGGCAAGTGCCCAGTTCTCTCTCCAAACCGCCTTCTAAGGATCCTGTGGTGTGGCCGACCTGCTGGCCTGCCATGCTGTTTCATCAGTATTGAATAAAATGTGCTTCAGCCTAAAGCTGACTATACTACCACTGCCCCCAAAATCAAAGATGACCCGTCCTCAATACAGCAATGGACAACATTTCCTACTTCATTCCACCCCAACCAAAATGATAAAAAAAAAAAAAAGGCTTTTGCTAAATGTATTTTCTAACTTTTTAGACATGTACAATGTTTAGAATATCCTCTGATATTTCAGATTCTCTTATTATATATTCACGACATGTAGAGTATCTTGCTCAAGGTCACCATAAGTGAAGGGGAATTTGAACCCCGTCTATCTGATCCCACATCCACTACACCCTGGCACGGTTCCTGGAACAGAAAGGGAATTGACGCTTGCTATGATAGCACTTGCACTGACTTGAGCCTTCGTTTTTATAAATTATTTAGTTGGCTACCTATCAGAAAAGAGTTTAATGTTTTATGATCTTTTGTGAAATGCAGCCAAACACTGGAAAGCTGTTTGTTGAACATTTGAATACGTCTTCAATAGTATTAAAACTAAATCCTATAACATATTCCCATTTAACAGTAAATCTACTCATATTTAAGGCACAATGTGAAACTGCAGCCTATAAATGTAGACTAATTTTAAAAGTAGGACAAGCTACAATTAAATACCTTGAAGGCAAAGTATATGCATCCTTAAGACCACCAAGAGCTCTCAGGTAAAACTCTTTCAAAAATAAACTGATGGTATAGCGTGACTTTCCTAAATGACTTGTACCTCAGGGTAACCCATGACTGATAAAGGGAAGTTGTCTTTCAAAAATTGTCAATCTGCCTGGCTGGTGTGGCTCATTGGATTGAGCGGGGGTCCCATGAACGGAGAGGTCCCAGTTCTGTTCCTGGTCAGGGCATATGCTGAGTTGTAAACTCAATCCCTAGTAGGGAGGGGGCATGCAGGAGGCAGCCTATGGATGTTTCTCTCACATTGATGTTTCTCTCTC